TCTTTAAATGTCAGATCTTTACATCAGGTTCTAAAGTAACTAAATTTGTCTTGTTGACTAGTGAAAAATAACTTTCTCCACCATTTCTAAACCTGCATTTTGTGCCTGTCGAGAGGATATGGATGAAATATCCAGGTACCAGACTGTTGAGGCTAAACGACACGAGTCTGAAGCTTTTACATCGTAAGGAGTCAAATAAGAGGTCAGTGTAGTTATTTAGTCAGGAATAATGTCTTGACTGCTCTATTTTCATTCACTATGCAACCAAAAGTTGTTAATGCTAATGTGTAATGCTGGTTTGGACTGGTCCCATCACTGCTTCAAATTTTAGTTTAGATGTTCTGCACAAGATTTAAATAAGTCCTGAAACGCTCCGTGATTGGATAACTGCATGTCTGCTATTAGCTGCTAATAAACCCTGTTGTCCAGAAGAGGAGCATCAGCAGGAGAAACAGTTCTCTGGTCATTTTGTTAACTCTGAGCCGGGTTCTACTAATGTAATGGCACAGAGCAGCTCCTGAGTTCAAACCCGGTCCTGGCGGTCTGCAGGGCAGCAGCCTCAGTGGTGTGTGGTGCAGCACCTCCTCCACCGCAAACTGGCCACAAGCTTCCATACATCAGCGGACGCTGATAAACCAAAATAAAGCCCTTCATTGTAACGTATGGAGCCAAAAATAAAGGGCGTTTCCTGGAGAACCAGAGGCCACATGCGATGTGTTGTTTCCAGTGTTGACGGCTTTGAACAACATCGGTTGTTTTCATTTTAAGTCAGGTTTCTATTTTCTGTTGATTCCACAGTTAGGTGTTTCCTGTGTGATTGCGGTCTAAAAAGTTTAGATGTGTCCCTTGTCCTTCACACTTGAATTAAATGGTGAAACTGCATCGCTAACATACAGTCAAACACAGTGCTAATAAAACTTTGCTAATATTTCGCTAATGTCGAACACAACTTTGCGATTGCGATGAAATAAGAAACTCAATAAAAAGTTTGTTCCAGAGATAAGCCGTTAAAAAACGGGATCTTCCAGCTACTTCCTGCCGTCTCCTTCTTTGTGGTTTGCATCAGTGGCGACATGTTGATTATGTTACTGGTGAAATGTGAAAAAGATGTTTCCGTTGCAGTTTTGGAAAATAAAACTATTTTAATTCAGCCCCAAACCCCACCTCATCCTTGTGCCAAAACTTTTTAGTGAAAAAAGATTATTATTATTTTTTTTCCAAAATTGACATGTTTCCATTAAGCAAATTTATTTTTGAAATGTCGATAGATATGCAGCTGTTGAATATTGATAAAACTCAATAGCTGTGTAAGTGATGATGGCAGTCGTTAACAGGAGGTTGATTTTTCCAGAGGTCAGAGTGATGATGCACAGGAAGTAATCACAGAGGAGCCAACATCAAGTGATTAGAGGACAATAGTGACTCAACCCTACATTAAAGGCACATGTGTTGACAACAACGTAAATGAACTCAGCCACAATAGACATGACTATGCTGGTGATAAATAAGACTGAAGGATCTTGGCGCGGCGGCCATTTTGTGTTCATTTGTGTGGCGGTGACCGTGGATGTGCTGCAGGAGGCTGATTGACGGTCTTGCTTCTCCTGCTCTGTTTATGCCTGGACTTGTATTGGTTTCCGGAAGCATTTTCCCATCTTATCTGAGCCATCGCCTCATTTCCTGTATGCAGCAGCACCATTTCCTGTCTCTGTGGAGTGTGATCAGAGATAGCAGAGGGGCCACACAGATCACAACCCTTTCTCCACACCTCCCCCCCCGTTTGCCTCCGCTCTCAGGCTGCCCCGATCTTTGAGATTTCTACATGTCCACCAACGTTTATGTGAGAAACGTCAGTTTGTCTTCTTGGAATTCTGACCAGCTGGTTTCTCAGAAGATCAGTGGAGCACGCCGACTGTAACTCTTGGCTTTTTTTATTTTTTATTTTCTATTTGTCTTCTTGGTATTCCTGTGTGTTTTGCGAAGAACAAATAACGGCCCGAGCCCATTGTCCCCATGCCACTGAGAAGGAGAAAATGCTCCAGCAGAACAATACACACTTCCTCCTGGTAGGTTCTGTGCTCCTTGGCAGTCAACAGATCAACTGAAAACACATGTAATAGGCCATTGTACGGCGCTCACTCCATACTTCCTGTGGTAACCTGCTTCCCAGCTGAAGTCACTGTGTCGTCGCAGGAGAAGTGTTCACATAGTGTTGTTGTCATATAGATGTAGTTATGGTGGCATATGGTCTACACCCTTCCATAAACTCTGATCTTATGCTAATATGTTTAGTTGTTCTGGGCAGCAATAAAAAAATAAAGCCAGTGTTTCATTTCATTTTTTTTAAGTGTCAACAAAAAGTGTAAATCTTTACGAAGCAAAACTTAACATGTTCACAAGCAACAGGTGAAAAGCACATCAGCCGTGCATTAATACTTAAGAGTTTCTCATGTTTTATATGGCTTTTTATATCACTTCTATATCAGTGAACTATTTTGTCGGAATGTCTGATATTAAATTTACAGCTGATGTCGACCGATATCGATGCCATTCCGATAATATCGTCATCCGTAGTACAGACACAGATTTGTCTTTCAATGTTAGATAAATTAACACAACTCTGCTTGCTTGTTAAATCATTGAAATGATTTGTGAACACATATTTCCCTTAGCTTTGACCTTCCAAATGTGATCTGTTTGTGTCATTTATCCAACACATCAGCATTTCAGGCCTTTCCTTCTCTCCATCCAATACGGTTTGTCCTGGTGTTGCAATCCGAACTGAAACCAGTGACGTTCCAGACGCGGATGAAGAATGTTTTTTAGCCTTGATTTGAAGGGACTTGGTGTTTCAGCTGTTTTGCAGTTTCTGAAAGTGTCCAGATTTATGCTGCTTCTCCATGTTTGGTTGTGCTCTGCATCCAGAAGACGTGATCGATACAACATGTGTCATGGTGTTAAGTTTCTCAGAGCCATCTTGTGCAACAGCAAGAGCAAAATATCTTCCTACCAAATCCTAAAGCCAACACATTCTTTTCACTCAGCAGATTTTCATAATAAACTCCATGACTTCATTCCTTCCTTTGACACTGATCAGTATTATATCATTCTAGGGAAGGGAGGTCCTCCCTTCTCCATGGGGAAGGGAGATTTTACTGTAAGTTAGACACGTGATATTTCAGGGAAACATGTGGATTTGTTTTTCCTCTGAGGTTCTTGTTGTCCTGACTTTCTTTCTACTGAGTTTTGCAAACACAATGAAAAGCTACCACATCTGGAGCTGTGAGTTTGTGTTTCTTTTTGACTAAATCGAAAGTGCAACAGAAACACTTTCTTTATTTGCGCATCAGAAATCACATAATCAACAGCCTGATGTTGCCAGTGGCTATGTTTCCATCACAAGTGTGAGCAAAACGTTGTCAAAAAAACACATTTTCCCATTTTTCGTCATGAAAACATTTCTTTCATACCAGATGATTTTCAACCCAGCATGTTTAAAGATTGATTGTGAATATAGACCTGAGAGGCTCAGACTGTTGTAGCTCTGTAAAGGCTTTTTTATTTTTATATATATAAATATTTTCTTGTTTTTACTGAACATATCTTTGCTCACATGCATTATCGGGTTTCGCTGCACATGGTTATGATTATATATTCTGTTTGGGCTGAGTCTTTCTCAGGAACTTAGCTTTCCTGTAAGCGTTCGTTTTAATCTCCTCCTTGCTTCTTGTGAACTCATGAGGCGGAAAATATTCTAGAGAATGTTACACTGACTGCCAGGAGAAAAGATGTTGCCTCATCATTTAAAAAAAAAAACGTTCCTATATATTTTAAATATAATATAAAAACTGGAAATATAAAAACAAACAAACAAAACTAAAAACCCTCCAAAAAGCATTAATCGAGATGTGTCCCCCAACTCAAAACAAGTTCAACTCAAAACAAGTGAAACTGGACTTTGATGCTGATCATTAAACTCCAAAGAACATACCCAAAAAAAATCTGCATAAGAATGTTGACTTCTTATGTCGACATAAGAAGTAAACATTATAAATCTATGCTTTGACTGTGTGGAGTCATCTGGAACACTTTGAGTGGAACTGATCACCATTTTGTGGATCTATGCAGGAACTTTCATGTGTTTTCAAGTCTTTCCATTTCAGTTTTGCAAAATGCATCAACAGAACCACCTCAACCTAACACAGAAAAACTTTTTATTAAAAAAATGTGTTTCCACTAAGCAAATTTATTTTCATACTTTGACTTTGCACTACTCTATGGTCAATGGAAACTACACTGCCCCATGAAACAAACTTTATATTTATTGTCTTTTTCATTTCTTCTTCTTTCAGGCACATCTTATCTGGAGCTTGAAATCCCAGCCAGTGAGTCTCTCTGTGGAGTTTACATGTTCCTCCCACACATTTCTGAATTATCTCTGGGTGCTTCTGCTTCCTCTCACATGCTGGACCCAACATCTGACCACTGCCCCATGGCTTCTCCAATAACCTTCACAAAACCGACCATTATCAATAACTTTGTCATGTCATTGAGTTTCTTTAAATCAGGAAGCGATTTTGCTTTTTAAGATTTTTATTTTTATTTTTTAAACTTATACTGCATGTGTTGCAGAAAGGTTCTAATCCAAAGATGATCTGATTTTACAAGCTGGGCAGTAATTAGCGTGGATGTTTCTCGTTAAGTTAAAATCATTTTTTCTTACAAAAAAAATACTTTTAATTTCTAATTTAACAACGGGGTTCTTGTTTTTTTTAAAAGATAGATTATTTTGCATTTATTCACATTGTCAGTCTGATGTCAACATTTTCTCTAATCAATTTATATCAATGCGTATATATGAATTATTATTTATTTTGTGTTTTTTAAAGTGCAACAGTCTTTGTTTACGTGAAGGCGGACACTGCCCCCAGCTGGTGGCCTGGTGTACTGCTAATACATTTTTCCTCTTTTTTTTTTTCACCCACTCATCCTCACCAGAACCAGGCACCGTCTGAATGCGCCTCCAGGAAGTCGCGGTGACAGATGTGCTTTTCTCCGAGTGATTCTGGCTCGTTTTGGCTCGTGCCTGCTCCCGTCCTGTCCCCGTGCCGCGGTCACGGACGTTCGGTTCGGTTCGGTTCCGACTCGCCCCTTCCATTCAGCCAGGCAGCGTCTTCCACCGGGTCAGACATGACGTCCATCAGCAGGTACCGGAGCCGCGCACTCCGAGCAGGTGAGCTCCCCTCAGGTGATAGAGAACCGACACACACACACACACACACACACCCACACCCCCACACACACACACACACACACACACACACACACACACACACACACACACACACACACACACACACACACACACACCGGCAGGTTGGGTGACGGTTCTCTCTGTGTCTCTCCTCCTCCGCCTGGGGAACCGCCGCGGCTCCATGTCTGCTGGAATTCGGCTTCGTGATGGCAGAGGATTCGGAGGTAAAGAGCACTGGGCTGATGGAGGTGTTTGACTGTATGTGTATAAAACGTGTTGAAAAAAGACCCGTCTCCAGCCGCGTGGCACCGTCTGCATTTACAACAGCTGATGGAGATGATGCCGTCAAGAGGGGGGGGGTCACTAATGACTGAGAGCATTGGAGTACGATTTATGCACGTGCCTCCCAGTAAATAAGAACATCACGAGCTGTGCACAAACACGTTCATAGAAAGTTGAGTGGAGAGAAAAGATGCGCAGGATAACTGCAGTCCTGAGAGGACAGAGAAGCAGAGAGCAGCAGAGAGTCAGGAGGGACACACACATCCACTCCTCAACCTGACAGAGGAAACCTTTCTGTTTCTACTGGGGATCAAGAGCCAGACAGCAATAAATTGAATTGAATTGAATTGAACAGGTCCAAAGAGACCTGTTCCAACAAATGTGAGAAAATATTGATGAGGGACACAGGTTGGACCAACTGAGACTCAGAGGGTAGAGTGGTCAATGTGCCTCTGGGCAAGGCATTGGAATCCAAGTTGCCTTCTGATCTGTGTGTCGCCGAATGAGTGTGTGTTTGTTAAGTGGGTGCAACTAGGCATATGTTGCTCTAGTGCAACCTGCAGCGCCAGAGCCGGAAAAGTCTCTTTGGACCTGTTCAATTCAATTCAATTCAATTCAATTCAATTCAATTCAATTCCTTTATTTAATTTCATTTAATTGAATTAGATTTATTATTACTTCAATTTATAACAAATGCTGTCTCGAGATTATTTCAGTTGATCACAGTTATGAAATATTGCATTAAGTTCATATCATTTAAATTAGTTTTGAAGTTTCTAAGGAAACCCTTCAGATTTCATCAACTCATTGACTTGCAGAGCTTTCTCACCCTGTCAGGAGTTCTCTCTCTCCATCCTCAGTGCATCATAAAATGTGTGTGTGTGTGTGTGTGTGTGTGTGCTGTAACATCACTATTTGCTTGTCTCTAGGACAAAGAGTATGTGGGATTTGCGACGCTGCCCAACCAACTGCACAGAAAGTCAGTGAAGAAAGGCTTCGACTTCACACTCATGGTGGCAGGTCAGTCTGATTGATATATATATATATATATATATATATATATACACACACATATGAATAAACTGTAACAACTAAGATTTTTGTGATGCAGGTGAGTTTGGTCTGGGTAAATCTACGCTGGTCAACAGCCTGTTCCTCACTGACCTGTACAAAGAGAGGAAGCTGCTCAACGCTGAGGGTGAGCTGCTGATTCTGCTTCTGTCTGTCTGGTTTTAGTCTGACTATCTGACTGACCGCTGTGCTGTTTCTCCTCCCTGAAAAGAGCGAATCAAGCAGACGGTGGAGATCACAAAGCACACGGTGGACATCGAGGAGAAGGGCGTGAAGCTGAAGCTCACCATCGTGGATGTGCCAGGTTTTGGAGACGCTGTCAACAACACAGAGTGGTAAAAGACATTCAAACTTTGTCCAGGAGCTCCTGTAGCATGAGTGACAGAATACATTACTTTACAGAATACATTACTTTACAGAATACATTAAAAAACAAAGTTTGGTTGTGCATCTCAGCCTACACTGGCTCTGTTCATATTTTGCTTTTATTTTTTGATTATTTTTATTAAGAACATTGCAGTTTTATAAAGGTGCTATTCAAAGCCTTTTTAACCAAAAAACTTAAGCAATGTAAGAAAACATGACAGGCTGGAACAGACTCTGTTACTTTTTTTCATCATTAATTAAACATCTTTAATTAATTCAAGAACTCCAAATATGCTGGTCAAACCTGGACTGAATTCAACTTTAGATTTTTGTGAAACCTATAAGTGAAAACATTTAGAACTTGTTCAAATCTTTTGTGTATTGTACATTTGGCCAGTCATTGAAGAAATGCTGCTGACTGGAACAGAGAAAGCAGAGACATGCGCAATGTTGTTAGTTATTAGATTATTATAAATGAATTATGACAATTTATATGCAGAGCTGCAAAGATTTCCATTTTATCCCACTGAAGCAAAGTCAAATCCTGTTCCCTCCAATTTAATCAACCTGCAGTAGACACAGCGGTCGGCATGGCAACCAGGTTATAGATCAATATGACAGAGGGACTGTCTCACATTAACAGAACGAAGCTTGTTTTTGTGAATCATACAGTTTTGTTGTCCCTGACGGAGAACTAACTGTTATGACCAGCTGTTATGGATGCTCTACACATCGGCTGGGATCTGATGCCTTGCTCATGAGGCAGGCATGATTTCACCTTTTACTCCTGCGGATGTGTCTCCCGATGTGAACAGCGGTGAGACCAAAACGCAGCAGCATGGAGAGGAAAACACAGCATGTTCCACCTGTGGACTAGAACCGCAATGATTCGATATTGATATCTGTATTGGACCTGATATCGACAAAATTCTGGATCAGGTGACAACATGCCCATTTCAGGAGGGCAGATCCATTCAGCTTAATTCTATAGTTATTTATTTGACATTATATTTAGAATCAATAATATAACTTTCTGAACCGTTTGAAAGAAGGTTTGTTGCGGCTCATTTTAGTCCATTATTATTTATTTTACATTAACTGATCTACTCCTAACCCCACTGACTGACCAGACTAAAGCTGCTTTTACATGTTTGACCAAACTTGTGACGCTGTATTTAAGTAGCTCCACTGGTATAGAGTTAAAAAATACATATATAACTGTGCTCCTTTTTATTTCACTGATTTTTTGATGTATCTGTTTCTGTCCACTAACACAGTATGTTTATTCTGACTCCATCCATTTCATGTATTTCATTTGTAGTGAATTCATCTGGTGTTCTGTATCGGATCGGTGTTTACTAAGCCTCAAATATTGGTATCAGAGGAGAATAAAGTGGATTGGTGCGTTCCTATCATGGACTGCATGGTTTCCACAGCTATTTGTGTGAGAGCCATGTGGACACATTCTACTGATGATATTTCTAGCTCTCTCACAGCTCCTGCTGTTTCCCTGGAGATGTGACTCTCCAGCTATTTGGATAAGTTGCTTTTTGCTGCCATCTGGAACAGCCACGCATTGAAAAGTGTATCCTTGTGTTTTGTAGCTGGACTCCGGTAACAGACTACATCAACCAGCAGTTTGAACAATACTTCAGGGATGAAAGTGGGCTGAACAGGAAGAACATCCAGGATAACAGGGTCCACTGCTGCCTTTACTTTATATCCCCGTTTGGACAAGGGTAATACACACACACACACACACACACACACACACCCACACACACACACACCACCCACACACACACACACACAACACACACACACACACACACACACACACACACCCCATAGACACACATAAATACACCGAGGCATACTTGTCTATAACTTGAGCACATTTCTTCAGTTTCTGTCACATTAGCATGTTTCAAATCATCAAATAAGTTTCACTGAATGAACACAGAAAGAAAAATTGGAAAATGTGAGATGACCCTGAGTGTTTTTTTGGCCAGCAGTGATCTGTGTTAGAAACGTTACAAACCACTGACTGTTTTTCATCAATTTTGGAATTTGTGTGTGTGAGGCACCATGTAACAGCAAGGTTAACAGAACCAGAAAGGATGATTATTGATAGCATTTTATGATTTTCTGAGAGTGATTGAACTTTACCACAAGAGTTGGTTATCTAATCCACCTCATCTCATTTTCCCTCACTAAATGAAATCATCAGGTAAAAAGTATTTCTTTTGTATTTACTCTGGTTATATTGGTGCGATGGTAAAGTCTCATTAATGATGTGAAATATTTAAGTGCAACATAAACACAAAAGCTGAATAAATTTGAAAATAAATATTTCTTCCACTGTATTGAATGTGCGCTACGTTGACATCCTGCCTCAGGCTCCGTCCCATCGATGTGGAGTTCATGAAGGCCCTTCAGGACAAAGCCAACGTGGTTCCACTCATCGCTAAGGCCGACTGCCTCACGCCTTCTGAGATAAAGAGGCTCAAAGAACAGGTATCTGTTTCCTTCAGGAACTGGATTATCTGAGGAATAGAGAGAACCACATTCAGACTGTAACCTGGAACACTGTGAAGAAGTGTAGCTTGGACTGTATGGTACGGCTTCTTTATGAAGCCCAATCAGGGCCGTTATAGGTCAAAAACAAAGAGTATATCTCCACTCCACCCCCCCAAAATTTCACATTAGTCTCATGAAACTTGGAAATTTCCAGGCTTAAAAAGTATATTTTTTCCTGTAAATTTGGGACTTTTCAAAATAAGAAATGCCCTTGTTTTTTTTTTCTATAATTCTTTTTATATTAGTCTCAAAACTTTCGATCTTTTCCAGCAATTATTCAACTTTTCAAAATCAAAAATTTCCATGTTCTTTTTTCCTAGAAAATTTCTGAGATTCATCTTAAAATTTCTGAGTTTTTTTCTTCCAAAATTTTGACGTTTGGCATTCAGAAATGTCATTTTTTCTAGAAATGTTTTATTATCCTCAACATTTCAGGATTTTTTTTTTTTGGCAGATCTCTACCTTTGTTTCTACGGCCCTAATCTGCCGTCGTGGTTCTTCTTGTGAACTTGTTTAATTTGTTCACCTTCATCACTGGAATTCATAACAAATGTCTACTTAAAAAACTTTAAACAACTTCAAATCTGATAATTGTGATAATTATAATGGTGAATATACAGTTTGCACTATTTGTGATGCACATTAAAAGTGTTTTATCTAATTTTTGGAAACAAATATATACATGAGAAAATTCAATCTTTCTTTTGTTCCTATAGAACACAAAACCTCATTTGGCCATTCAGCTTCACAAACTTCATTCTCCAGTTCTCTTATAATTACCCTTACTTAACTTTTAGAATTTTAGATCTTGAAATTTGAATATATTCTTTTTAATCAGTGCAGCAATTACATGCTTGAGATATAAAAACAACCCATGCCATGTGATGGTTGTTATGACAACCATGAGTTATTTTCGAACTCTCTAATCTGAAATCAATTAAACAAGCAAGCGAGCAGAATGTCAGGTTCAGACTCTGGAGCGGTTTCAGAATGACTCAGACGTCTTCATAAGAAGATTTTATTTGAAGTGAATTTTGTTTCTCCTGAAAAGTTCCAGCTCTGCACGCCGAGGCATATGTGTTCCTGCTGTGACCCGTCACGTCCCTGACCGTGTGTTTGGTCCTTCCAGGTGAGGGAAGAGATCGATAAGTTTGGGATAAAGATCTACCAGTTCCCCGACTGCGACTCTGATGAAGATGAGGAGATCAAACAGCAGGATAAAGGGCTGAAGGTAGGCCTGGTCTGAAATGAAAGGGCCTAAAACATGTACACTGAAATTTCGAGCAGTAAATTTAATTACATCGCACTCTGCTCAGGAATAATAAGTCTGCTTTTATATATATATATATATATATATATATATATATATATATTATATATATATATATATATATATATATATATATATATATATATATATCATAGTATAAAACAGTGGGTTATTTCTAATGCTGCCAATCAGTTCAAAAATGTAATCAAATGAATCACACTCTAGCACTGTGATTGATCACCACGCCTAACTTTGTAACCTTGAAATCTAAATACGTATATGTAGCTGTGGTTCTCTTGGGAACAGCCAAGCCCCTCCTCCTGCTGCGCTTCAACCAATTAAAATGCATTATATTATCTGATTGTTGTTTTTGGAGCAGAAAGCAGGCCATGTAGTCTCCCAGGACTCATGACCACAAATGTAGTAACAAGCTTGTTTATTTTCCAGTTCTTGGGTGTGCAACCCCTTTCCGATGCCGCCCTGGGCATCTGCCCATGTGGCCCATATTACTAAAAACCGCCACTCTATCCTATGCATGTTTTCAAAAGATTTTTAAGAAAATGTTTTATTTACTCAAATATAATATCAAAATAAGTGTTATGTAAATTTAATATTTTAATATGTAATATTAAAATATCCCCCTTATTAACGTTGGCAGTTATTTGTAAGTATGATCATAAAACTGCAGGATGTTCAAACATCTGTGTCGGCGCTGCAGGAGAGCCTTCCGTTTGCAGTGATCGGCGGGAACACAGTGCTGGAGGTCAGAGGTCAGAGGGTGAGGGGCCGCCTATACCCTTGGGGGATCGTAGAGGGTAAGACCCCGAGCTGCAGTCTGCAGCTGCCGCTCCTGGTGGGTGTCGGCCTCTCATGTCGGCCTCTTCCTGCAGTGGAGAACCCGTCCCACTGTGACTTCGGGAAGCTCAGGAACATGCTGATTAGGACGCACATGCACGACCTGAAAGACACCACCAACGACTGTCACTATGAAAACTACCGGGCCCAATGCATCCAGAACATGACCAGGTGAGCCAGAACCATAGGACAGCAAGCTGATTCAAATTTTTAATCAAGTTAATTGCGGGGTCTGTAATTAGTTTAATCACAAAAACCACATAAGCAACATTTCCAGTTCAAAAACTCTTTTTGAAAGTATTGAATATTTTAACATATTAACATATTTATAACAAAGATATTCATTGTTTTGAATCAGTGATTTATGTTATTCAACCATCAGATTGGTGCAAAGTGCTTTAGATATTCATCCTTCCAGCTTTGCTGATAGGCTGATAAGTAACAGAGAAATCCTTTTAGAGCAGCTGGGTGCAAGAAGTAATCTAAAAAAAAAATAAAAATAATTAAAAGCTGTGGAAGAGGCTCCACTCAAAGCGTCCCTAGTGTGGGATGGATGCTCCTGTGTGGAAAGTGTCTGCAGATGAGTGTGGGCAGAGCAGGATGCTGTTGGAGATCAAAGAGCTGGGCCATAAAAATACCTCCAGCACTCTGGAGTTCTGACATCACAAAGCTCAGTTTCACTGCACAGCATTTAAGCAGAAATTTAAAGAAAAAAAATGAAAAAATAAAATTGTACAACAGGATTTAATTGTGTCGCTATAAAAGCATATATGTGATTACAGTGATGAAGGAAATACAGCATTATCACCCAGTGTTATGTTACGATGTTTAATAGCTATGCTAGTGATATTTATAACACATAACTATTACTTTCATCTGTTTTAGCTTTCATCTGCCACTGTTGGTATGACGGCAAACAAAAATAACATTTAACTTAATTTATTTAATGCTGTTGTTCTGTGTTTATGATGCTCACACTTTCTGCACTGACAGAAATATTGCCGAAAAATATATACATAAAAGAAAAATGTAACCTCACTATTTTAATTAAATAAAGACCCCAACATATTGTTAAACTTTCAGGTTCATAGCATCTGTCCAGTAATACAGAACTGCAGTAAAGATGCTATTTTTTTTTTGTTGTTGTTGTAAATGAAGAAATGAACAAACACAGCAGGTAAAGCAGGTAAAGTCAATTTTTTCCACTCATGTCTGAGCAAAAACAATTTGTCATACAGCAGCCTCACATCAGTTTTTCCTGTTACAGTAAGATGAATGCAGATAAACGTGTGGAGAGTCCCATCCCCATCCTGCCTCTGTCCACGCCTGCCGTGGAGACAGAGAAGCTTATCAAGAGGAAAGATGAAGAAGTGAGTGGCAGGAGACACACTCTACTGTTGTGTGTAAATGTAAAGTGGAGGAAAATGACACATTTTGTTTTTACACAAATAAATCTCAAAACTAGTTCTTGTGTTGGTATTTGGATAATCTGGGCCATTAACGTTACATTAACTTTTGAATGAAAAGAGAAAAAAACATGAACAAAACAAAACAAAAAATATAAAATCTTGATAAAAATCTCCCATAGTAAATTTACTACCATTTTTTAAGGACTGCCATTTTATTTATATTCATATTGAATCAAAGAAGATGGATATATTTTCTTCTACGGGATGTTGATATTTGTAGAAAATGTTTAAAAAAAGAGAAAAGTATGATGTTTCCAACTTAAAACCGCAGTATGTAACTTTTAGATGAAAAAAGTATACCATATATATATATATATATATATATATATATAATATAAATTCCCTTCTCACCCACCGCGGGTGGTTCTTATCCTCTGAGCTCGGGTCCTCTACCAGAGGCCTGGGAGCTTGAGGGTTCTGCGCAGTATCTTGGCTGTGCCAAGGACTGCACATTTCTGGACTGAGATGTCTGATGTTGTTCCTGGGATCTGTTGTAGCCACTGCTCCAGTTTGGGGGTTACTGCCCCGAGGGCCCCGATGACCACAGGCACCACTGTGGTCTTCACCTTCCAGGCCCTCTCCAGTTTCTTCCCTGAGGCCCTGGTATTTCTCCAGTTTCTCGTGCTCCTTTTCCTGATGTTGCAATCACTTGGTATTGCTACATCTACCACAACGGCTTTTATCTGTTGTTTATCCACTACGACAATGTCTGGTTGGTTCGCCATTACCATTCTGTCTGTCTGGATCTGGAAGTCCCACAGGATCTTAGCTCTGGCGTTCTCCACCACCTTTGGGGGTGTTTCCCACTTTGATCTCGGGGTTTCCAGTCCATATTCTGCACAGATGTTTCTGTACACTATGCCTGCCACTTGGTTATGTCGCTCCATGTACGCTTTCCTGCCAGTATCTTGCACCCTGCTGTGATGTGCTGGACTGTCTCAGGGGCCTCCTTGCACAACCTACACCTTGGGTCTTGTCTGGTGTGGTAGATCTGGGCCTCTATTGCTCTGGTGTTTAGGGCCTGTTCCTGGGCTGCCAGGATGAGGGCCTCTGTGCTGTCCTTGAGTCCAGCTTTTTCCAGCCATTGGTAGGATTTACTGATATCAGCCACTTGGGTTATTTGCTGGTGGTACATCCATGTAGGGGCTTGTCCTCCCATGATGGTATCTCTGGCACCTCAACCCTCCGTTCCCTGTTGTCTGAGACATTCACTGAGCACATTGTCTGTTGAGGCTTTGTCCCTGATGTATTTATGGATCTTAGTTGTTTCGTCCTGGACAGTGGTTCTCACACTCACTAGTCCTCTGCCTCCTTCCTTGCAGCTCGTGTACAGTCTCAGGGTGCTGGATTTGGGATGGAACCCTCCATGCATGGTTAGTAGCTTTCTAGTCTTAATATCTGTGGCTTTTATCTCCTCCTTTGGCCAGCTAATTATTCCAGCAGGGTATCTGATTACTGGCAGGGCATAGCTGTTTATCGCACAGATTTTGTTCTTGCCATTGAGCTGGCTTCTCAGGACTTGCCTTATTCGTTGGAGGTATTTAGCTGTGGCTCCTTTCCTTGTGGCCTCATCGAGGTTGCCATTTGCTTGTGGTATACCTAGGTACTTGTAACTGTCCTCTATGTCTGCTATTGTTCAAAATTTTATTTGGGGGTATTAGACCTCAGAGAGGTCAACACTTTTTACATTTTGGTAACTAATGTAAAACATAATGCATCATTTCCATTCCTTTCGTACTCTACTTTGTGTTGGTTTGTCACATAAATCGATGTTGAAAGCTCCCTGACGTTTACATTCACGTAATGTAAACTCATCAACCTTTTTCAATTGTGAAAAAGGTTGATGAGTTTTGAAAGTCTGTCTGTTCCTCACGCTGCTCTCCTCTCCATCTTCCTGTCTCCATGTGGCTGGTCCTCTGCAGCTGAAGAGGATGCAGCAGATGCTGCAGAAGATGCAGCAGCAGATGCACGGGCAGGACCTGTGACCTCTGATCGGCCTGTTCACAGCAGCGATAATCTCACACACACACACACGCACACGCACACACACACACACACACACACACACACACGCATGGTGTAATCCACACTGCTCTCCTTCTTTCAGGGACGAGATGAGAAAATTTCTCTTTGCCAATTAACAGATAAAGTGTTTTTAAGACAGCATGCTTTCTGTTCAGTGCAGTCCTTAGCCAAGTGATCTATAGATTTTTAGCCAGTAGGTTGAATTGATCAGATAGACTAAAGTAGATGCAATGCTTTGCTGAATTACTGAATAAGTATTCCAACAGTGGTCAATTGTTATGATGCTTTTGAATATAAAGATCAGAAATTTTTATATTTTTAGAAACAGGAAACGGTTTGAGAATTGAGTTTTCATAGATATTTAAAGTCATTAGATATAAGAAATAAGGACTTCCTGTTGTGACAGAAAAAAACAACAACAAAAAACCCCCAAAAGCACAATATTAGATGCAGAAGTCTTGACTTATTGATGGAGTTTGGATAAATGACTGTAAGGAGACTCCTGGTAGTTTTCTAACAGGGATCTTTGTTCACATAACATCAGAGGTTTGGGTTCCTCATCATGGTCTTTATTATCATATTCATCCTGAACTTTGAATGCTGCATGAAGCAGCAGTTTAAGAGACAACTTTAATGAATCTTAAAAGCAAGAAAAAGTACGCATGTTTGAATTTATGGTGGACTTTCTAAAATCCACATAAGCTCAAATGTATAAATACCCAGTGCATAGAGTTAATAAATCCAGGTTTTGCTGCTTGTGGCTGGATACCAGAGCTTCTTATCAGAAGTTCATTTTAAAAGGCAGAAAAGGCTCTTTGGCACATTACAAAATATTTATAATTGACCTGATGTCAGGAAATTCTAGAAATATTATATATAAGGTAGATGAACAAAAAGTTCAAATTTTTCAAGTCTAAAACCTTGATAAGGTATCACTCTCGCTATATGAATTAATTAATCATAGGTGTTGTTCTTTTATTTAATTCGTTTTAGCTTGATTACTTTACAAAAATTGCATGAAGCTATCTCAGATATCCTGAAATTTACTGTTTTCTCCTCTAAACACATGTTAATTTCTCTGAAGAATATACAAAATAAACCTGAACAGCTGTTAACCATCTCTACAGAGAAATTATGATCAAATAAAACCAAACAAAGTGTTGTAAACAGTCCTGTTTTTAATGAACTATATGACCCATTGTTTTGTTTGATGTCTGATCTGGTTATTTCACTCTAATATGAAGTGCAGATGAATTGTTTTCAATACGTGAACATACTGAGTTATAAGGTAAAGTCTTGATGGCCTGTGCAGCAGGGTCTACAGGATCTTTCTAACATGTCAGGTATCAAAACAGAAAAAAATCCTGGTTCTGATCACACCCAGTGACACACAGACGTCACTAGGTCTCTTGGTTTTAACATGGCTAAATGTTTCTATGCTGGCAAACTTTATTCAGTTATCAAATCTTTGACACATGTTGTCCAGCTACTTCCTGTCGTCTTTCCCTCCAGTAGTAACTTCCTGTCGTTGACCACGTGACTGGTGTGATGCGACATAAACTAATAGCTGAAAAACAAATCATCCTCACTCAAAAAACGTCTTAGCATTTTGGTTATTGAAATTTCTTTGTTTCAATTAAAGAAATACATTTTCTTATTCCAATTTTGGCAATCTTACAGTCATTGGAAGAAAGACTAGTGTAAATATAATCTCCTTTTATGTTTCTTACAAGTAATAACTGACACCAACATAAAGCTGATGTTTCCACAAACCTTCATTTTCTCAGTTCCTGAGAGTTTACATATTTAATCATCTGCTTTTCTACACTTCTGGGGAATTGTAATGATTTGGAAACATGAAGGTAAATCTTGTGAAATGAACAATAGCCAGAGGAAAAAACAACAACAAATGTTTACTGAACTCCCTGACAACAGGAGTTTTCCAGCACTCAGGACTGCAAGACATTGTTTTTGTTCTGTTTCAGTGGCTGATCAGACTGTGTTTTAAAATTTTGTGATGATAATAAAAATGATGTGAGAATTGTCTCAGCAGTCTGCATTTTCTGTATTCACTTGGGAGATATTGTAGAACAGTCTGAAACTTTCACGGTGTTTTCAGCAGTACTTCTCAGTCACAATACTGAGACATAAAAAATCCCATTGCCCGAAATTTGCTTTTGCGATTTCAAATAATAAGAAATGAGAGTCAAGCTGGGGCTAACGGTGACCTTTCACAGCGTTTATACACCGTGAAACTATGTTTAAATCACCCTAAAGTCTAAAAAAGTGTGAAACATTCTCTGATTGATAAAACCTCACTGACAATGACAGCTGATCAGTTCTGTCAAATTGCTGAAGTTTGCATTTCTGAAACTGCTTTATCAACTGAGCGGCTGGCCCATAGGGGGCGCCAGGGCGCCGCGCTCCCTGTATGGAGGGTGAAAAAAAAAACTTCCAAAATGATCCATAAACATTAAAAATACTCATAGATGAACCTCTCAGGCAGAGCTGACTGGCTGCCATGGGAGATTAAAGGATTTCTCAAACATGCATGAAAGAGTCAGGGCAACACTGCAGGTATGATGTTGATGTCTTGATACCTGGTTTTACATCATAATATCACGTAAAGCTATTTTATCATGTCTATTCTGACATAACACGGCCCCTTTCACTGTCATACTTGACAGGTTCCTAGAATCCTTCATTCAGTCCATGCACAATAAATCTGGACAAACATCCAGAAAACTGTAAAGATGCTGAAACACTGAGCATCTTTGAATCAAGGCCTGTTGGTTCGAGCTGATTGTGATCAATAGCTGGACACTGACTGATCTGTTTGACGTGCTTGGTGATTTTGATGACGGTATTTGACAACATGTCATTTTGATGTCTGGTTTCAGGCTGTTCTGTCTGAATGGGGTGAAGCGGCTTGCAGCGCCTGGCTGCAGCGCCTGGCTGCAGCTGTGAGGCAGCGGAACCAGACCTGACCGGGATCAGATGGAAGCGGTTCTGTGGACAGACTGGACCGCGGCAGCCAGCTGCACATGCGTTTTTCAGCGGGTCGCTCTCGGTGTAGTGCGGGCATTTTTTTAATTTATTTTATTACTGCTGGTTGCGTAAGTCGGCAGAGCAGCAGCGGCGGAGGATGGAGGGGAGTGAAGCGGGCGAGAATGAGAGCAGCTCGATGTGGAAACAGTTTCAAGCCAAAGCGAAGCCGCTTCTCAGCCCCAAGCTGGGCGGCCGAGAGCCGGACGAGCAGAGCAGGAGGAGCCTGTGGATGTTCAAGAGGACTAAGCGGAAGGAGCGCGTCGCTCTGGACCGGGTCATCTCCTCCTCGCAGCCCGACCTGCTCTTCTCCGCTGAGGTGACGGACGTGAATCCGCAGGACGCCCCGCTCTGCGGCAAACCCCCCGGGAGCAGCGCCCTGCCCGGCCGGGAGAAGCTCCACGCGTCCGTCAAGCGCAAGTCCGCCGGCGCGAGCAAATCCACGGTGGCTCAGCTGGTTCAGTCCCACCACAAGAGCTCCTCGTTGGGCTCCGCGAGCCTGGAGAGGCTGACGGAGCCTCCGGGCGGCAGCCGCGGGAGCGACGCGGCCGCGACGCAGGCGGCGGCGGTGGAAAGCCGCCAGGAGAGGAAGCATGAGCAGGAGGTGAGTCCGCACGGGGACCGGTGAGGGTCATTTACCTGATTCTACTCGAAGTTTTACTGAATGACGTTTAGTGTGAATGGCTGGGTGCCAGCATGTTTTCTGGAAAAAACAGAGTAAAACTAAACTTGTATAAATGAAGTAGAGTGGAAATAAATGAACACAGCAGGAAAAGTCATGATGTTTCCAACTAGGAGTTTGACACTAATAACTTTATTCAGTTGTTTCTTGATGCATTCTGTGTTCAGACTGATGAGAAACTCACTTCATTCATTCATTCATTCATTCATTCATTCATTCATTCATTCATTCATTCATTCATTCATTCATTCATCTGTCTGAGTAGAACAGTAAATAGATCTGATGAGAATCAGTTCCTCAGATCTTAATGTGTTCCCATCCTGTCAGTTACTGAGGTTTCATTGTAAACAACAAACGGGCAGCATTTCTCTGGGATGCTTTTTAACAGCGTTAAAAACCATTAAATGTAGATAAACGAAGACAACGCAATGAGGCTCCGGACAGATGGATTATGATAGCAGTCATAGATGCATAATTCAGCAGCGTGTTTCCAGGATGCAGGGCGGCCATGTGGTTGTGTTGTGCAGATCCTCTGATGACAGAGACGCTGTCAGGATTCAGCTCCTTCCTCTGAGGATGCTGGGATATGGTTCAGTTTCCTGAAGTCAGCAGGTCAGTGGTTCCCAAACTTTTTCTGTTTTCCAAGGAAATCCTTGCCCACCCCCTGGTCCAGACACAGCCTCCAGCCTGACACAGTCAGACATGTTTTGTTTTCAAACTCCATTGCAGTTCATTTCCCACCTCAACATTTTGCTCTGAAGAATAAGAAAAAGGCAAACTGCAATAAATTACATGTTAACACATAAACTATAACCACTTTTAAATAACAAAACAACAAGCCTTCATAGTGTAACAATTTTAAGGGTAATTGTTATTTTAAGCAATGCACAGATGTGAAAATATGATATTAATACTGCTATTATTCATATTATATGTATTTCACTACTTTTCCTACATCTTAACAAAAACAATAACAACAAAAAAATACACACCACTGACTGTTTCCGTGAAACTCTCCACAGTCCTGCACTGCATCACCATCACTGTCACATGACCAACACAAATATCACATAATCAACTTCCTCCCAGGAACAAACGGCAGCAAGATGCAGATAAATATCGGTTGTTAAAATCTACCCAGTTACATACATACATCGGGTCGCTACTGATCGAGCAAGTCTACCTTTTATTTTATTTTTTTTACTTTCGACAGTACAATAAACACATTTTTCCAAAAATTAGCACAACTCCCTCAATATGAACAACTCCTCAGAGCAAACAAAAAACAAAAACAAAAGAAAGTGTGTTTTGCAAAAATACCACCTTTAATCCTGACATCTTTTCAGTGACTGGCGTGAGCCTTCCTCTTGCTGCAGAATCTTCTCAAAACCCCGGTTGCAGTTGTGAGACTGTAACTCTGAGCTTTTTTTCACACTGTATAACTTTGCTCTACTTCTGGCTGGCAGTAAATCTAGCTCACATTGGTAGGATCCAGCAAAAGAAAGAAATATGGCCAGTTACCCTCTGCTATTACCCTAACAGAGAGTAATATTTCACTGTTTCAATCCAAAATGCAGCCAGTGTCTTTGCCGCCTCTTTGTTGAATCAGAGGTGGGATCAATAAGCTGTTCCTTCTCTGAGCGGCTGAAGTCAGCAGGTGGTGGTTTGGAATCCCAGGAAATGATTTGGAGAGAGATGTGTTGTTTCATGCCGTGTTCAGCGTCAGTGAATGATGTCAGATTCTCGAATCTGTCCATATTTCCATCCTTTACTTATTGCTGCCACTTCCTAAGTTTTCTGATGGATGATGTGACTCTATCTGCCAGATGTGGGAAACATATGTTTGTGCTCTGAGTCTGAAAATTCATCTCATTGAGTTTTGGGAACACGTCGTTGAGGTGCATCAGCTTCACGGGGAACTTCAGGTCTCACCTGACTAAAGACCCTGGACAGAATCCTCCAAACTGAACCGCTGTCTGGTCGGCCGAAAAAAATCCAGGCTTTGACAGAGCTCTTTGGAGTGAAAGGAGAACTCATCTCTATCTATGAGTCTGACACAAGTTATCAATAAACAGTCTTTGTTACTGTTAGTGTCCATATGTTCAGAGAACATATCATCCACCTTGTCATCCACCTTATTTGACAGAGGAATAGCCTGCAGGGATACTGGCTTGATCAGTCATGGTTCAAACAGTATTCATAGCACAGTGATGTATTCATTTCTCCATGATCGTGTGCAGTTTTTTACGCTGTCTCACTGTGGAGGCCGACCTTATAGGAGCAGAGTCGAGCATTTGCCAGGAAAGCTGAGCTCAGCAGTTAGCAAGTTTTTGACTGAAATAGTCAACTGATGTTTTGTTTCATTTTGTAAGGCTTCAAAGTGTTACAGACAAGCACTTTAAGACGGACTACACACTGGTTTCACGGTTGTGCAGGTGAAGCTGAAGGAAAGACATCCTTCATGTTTTCTGTTCTTTGGCTTGGAAGGAAGTTGGTTTGGAAGCAGATATGGAGATGCCTCATCTTCTGCTCTGAGTTTTTGTGGGAGCTCTATCACAAACCTGTGGATTATGCTTGCAGTGTCCAAGCATTCGTGTTTTTATGCATACCATGACCCCCACTGCAATGACTGTATGCCCCCACTAGGGGAATCACTGCACCAGTTGATGACACCAGATGTCTGAACACCAAGGAATTTCATCGTTGACCATTTCCCTTGTTTCGACCAGATCGAGGTTGTTGTCTCTGTCCATATATACATTTACTGATTCATCATTACCATGAATGAGTCCCACAACTGCTGTAACATTCACAGGTTTATTGATGAGGATTTTCTTATCTGTGATAGTAGAGTGAACTGCAGTGGACTCTGAACTACAAAATCCTATGAATAAAATTGGCGGATTGCCAGGCCCTATAACCAGTGAACGGGATACAAGCAGATCATAAAAACAGAGGACATGTAGGATATAAAATAATTATAATGTCACTACAAAGGGATGGATGGGATGAAGGGTTGAAGGAATAACATGTCAGTTGGAGGAAGTTCATTTTGGAAGCATGCCTGACTTGAGATGCAGCCTAATCATAACATGTGAAAGTCGTGGTGAAATTTTTAAGGAGCCTTTCTGAAGCGACTGTTTGGAGAATGCTGGTTGCTTCTCAGTGGAGCTGAGTAGTAAACAGGAGTCTGACTCACATCTGGGGCAAATTAAAGATGTGGGGAAGAGTGGGATTGCGAAACTTGATTTCGGACTCCAGTTTCGCACAGAGGTCTGCAAATGTTGGAGAAAAGCTACTTTTACATTTTTCTTGTAATGTTCTGTAAAACTTTTGACCCCTCTATGCCACAATATGAATCCTCTCTGCAACGCCACATGTTGTAAAAAACTGAGGTGAGACATATACATTCCTAGTAACAGTGCTGCGACGGACGTGAGAGGTTTGCCTGCAGCGGAGCTGGACAGTGTCAGCGTTTCCTGAGGAATGTCAGAAAGGCTCAGCCTGGATCCGTACGGCACTGACACCCTGCTGGAGAGACTCCAGGTCTGTCTTCACGCTAAAGCACATAATAGAAATCTGCTAGTAGTTAACTTGTTGCTTCTTTGAGCTTTAATAACACCAGCAGGCTATCAGTAAAGCAGCTACTGCTTCTAGCTCTGAATGCTCTTGGCCAGTTTTGTTTAACTGCTTCTGCTTTGTCTGTTTCTTCCTGTTTAACTCTTGGTATGCAAATATATGGTTCTTTGGAAACTTTGGGAACCACAAAATCTGAAACCAAATGTTGTAGATAATGTAACTGATTTTAACAGCAAGAATGTCCCCCCAAAATAGACTAATTAATTCATACAAGATGCATATCTGTGACTAATCCAGCCATGATATTATCCATTTGCTCCATTAAAAGTCACTAATTTCATCAGTTCATAAAACCCTTGAAAAGCTGTCGTTAGATATTTCTTGGCCCAGTCAAGACTTTTCAGGTTCTGTGTCTTTTTCAGTGGTTTTGGGCCAACAGTTAACGTATCGTTTATCATTTATCACAATACATTTCTTATCATGATGAAAGTGTGATTAATCTTTGTCAAGATGTATTCCAATTAATGACTTTCAAAAACCCGCAAAGCTGTTTGTATTGAAGGGATTTTTATTTTTACTATTTTACAACAGTTTGTTCAAGAAGACTATTAATACTGATCCTTACTGATGCTCTCATTGAACAAACAGTCTGATTTAGTGACACACAACACACTTTTGTTATATGACTGCTATCCTGAAGTGACATGTTATAAAAGAGTTAGTAAAAAGAAGCAGTAAACAGTTTTATTGTCACTCTCTGGTCTTTGCTGCCTTATTGTTGAGATAATAGTTTCATGTGTGGGTCAGTCTGGTCTATAAGAGCAGATGGTATCAGGGGAGAGAAACTTCTTTTGTCTTTTGCTTGTTGCTCCTGTATGACCCGATGAGGCGCTAACCTGTTTTCTCTGGTCATACCCTGAAGTGCACTCCTAGTTACTCCTAATCCACTGGGGACGGATTATCATCCTGCCAACCAGGCTGACTCGTTGCTGTCCTTCTGTCCATTATTTATTTTTTTTCATTCAGCAACTTGACTCGGTCTCCTGGTTCCTTCTCCTCAGGAGCTATCTTTGAGACATTCTCAGTTTCTCTGCTTTTGTATATTTCTCAACTCAGTCTTCAACTATAAGAGGTTTGTTGTTTTTTGTGAGGGATCCTGTTGCGTCATCCCTGACCCTGGATCTTTTATTAAGCGAAACCCCGGTGGCACAGCCCCGTCTGGCAATCCAAAGGTTTCTTCGCCGCGCCTCTTCAGATGACCCTTACTGCCTCGCCTCGTCATGTGAACGCCTGCTGTCGGTGAGCTCTTTTCCTTTTGCTCCAGCAAGTGAAGGAACGTAAGAGATGGTCTAAAGCAACACAAACATTTTCACTTAAAGTTCCAGTTCTGCTGGAGACGAAACCAGTGTATGTCAAAAAATGACTTGGGCAGTTATTTTAGTTTGATGACAATATGATTGTTTGACCAGGAAACGTTTAGCTGGATTCAATGTCAGTGAGAATTAAAATCTCTTTTTTTTCATTCAATAATAATAAATATCTGCGTTCAGATCAGATGTGTTAAAAGTTGCTTTTGAGATTTTTCAACATTAAGGCTTTTATTTTCACAAGTTGAAGAACTTCTCCTGAAGCCACATGACCAGACGGCCTCTGATGTCTCCTTCAATTCTGCTTTTTTACAAGAACTTGAAATAAAAATAAGTGTTTAGCAGCCCAAAAGATGTTTTGTTTCATTTTTAAATTTGCTCTACCTAGGTGTCCTATAAAGAAGGAACTGTATAAGTCACATAACTCTGCGTTTCTTCAGTGTGTTTTTTTTAAATGGCCATGTAGAAAAAAGTGTAAGATGGAAATCTAAACCGCTCTGAGGGTTCCTGCAGAAAGAGTCTATTAGTTGCAGTATTGATCACTGCCTGTAAGAGCCCACAAGGTTCAACCATCTTAATGAAGACTCTACATATCTTCATCAACTCTTCTTATTGAATTTATTCTAAGCTTCCCTATTCAGCATCTGTATCTTTTATCTTATAGCTTTGAATATGTATTGTTTTAATTTTGTCCATCCATCCATTGAGTTTGAAGTCATTGACCATATTATCTATGGCTGTAGTATCTGTGAGTGTCGAGACTGGTCAGGCCCTTCATGTGATTCTTCTTTAGTATTTCATCCTTTGTGGCATTCTGTGACTTATTATGCTCTGACAACAGCTTCCATGCATAATGCGTCTTTAACTCCGTACTTGACTTTGAGGATTGTGTTGTTCAATTTCTACGTTGCAGGTTGAGCTGTTTCCAGAGAAACTGACAAAACCTTCGAAACGGTCGAGGAACCTCCGGTTGAACATCAACAGCAAAAGTCCAACAAGTTGTTTGAGTTCCTGCTCCCTGACATTAAGATTGTCAGCGTTGTAGCTGGGAAACACATTTTGACCAGGGAGCTCAGATGTACAGAACACTGTCATAGGGCTGTTTGTCTCTATGAAGCTGATATTAAAGCAGATAGCATTGTCTTTGTATGTGGAACGTTGTAGTCTGAACGGTCATGTGGCATTTTATCTGTCCTTTACGTCATTGATGTCAGACATCAGTCACAATTCTGCACCAGCAGAAGCCAGACGTGGTAAATCCAGGTGTAATCAATGGCTGAAAATTCTAATTATGAAATGATAAAAGCTGTTTGTGTCAGTGAAGTGCATCATATCATATTGTATTCCCACCACTACACATCCAATCAGACGTCCCTACAGAAGTTTCTGTCAATTCTTCACAATTCTAATCTTTTTTTCGATTAGTTTAATGCATCTTATAACCTTGTGTTTAAAACAAATGTATAGATAATGGCATCCATTATTACGTCTGTAAACAGAACGCTGATTATGTGCTCAGCTAGCCTTTAAATACACAATGAGTTGAGATCAGGAGAAACTGTAACTGATCGATGGATCATCTGTGGAAGCCAGGATTATACTTTGGCTTCAACACAGTCACTTATTTTACTCACTAAAGTTCAAATCACTTTGTAACTTTAACCTGTAACATGTTTTTAGTCTATATTTTATCATCTGTGTTGACTTTAAACTACAATATTAATAGGAGACAGCTCATGTGTTTATCAGTTCTAATTTATAAACTCAGCTTGGATTCATTTCCCACATCATAATCAGTAATATGAAACTGAAACAATGGCTTTTATACTGATCCTGAAGCCTGAAATAGGCGTTCATTACAATGCCTGATGGGATTGGGTTGGCCTAACTCTATTCTCAGCTTTGCTTCCTGATTTAGTGCCACAGTTAATTCTGACTAAGCAGCTTGTTAGCGTTGGCACTTCAAGTCGGTCTTGTCATGTAAACTTCTTACCTCGTTCTGTCGCCGTTTCAGCTCTGCTGGCTGCACTCATCTGTTGTCTTTCTCCTGTCTATGAGGCTCTGTTAGCAAAAATATGATCAACTGCTGGTTTATACTACAAAAACAAAACAAAACACAAGCATTTTTTTTTATACAAAGTCTGGTGTGAAATGAGAATGTGCTTTTTCTCTTTTCGTTCATTTACGATTCCCATTTTTTTTTCTATTTGTTTAATAGAAAATGCCACAATAATAAGAAAAATGTTTTTTTTAAAGGGAATTTATATTACTTTCTTCAAAGTCAAAAGTCTTAAGTACTCCTCTTTTTTATTTGGTATCATTGCCCTTAAACTGTGTGACTAGGATATCCTTCCACAAGCTGCTCCAGTAATTTTGGCCCATCTATGGGGTAAGATTGCTGTCAATAATGTTGCAGAGATGTAACTTTGTAATTTGTATTTCACCACCTTCTTCAAATAAGTAATTATTTGCCCAAATCAATAATCTGTTACTTTTTATTGCCATAAAATGATTTAGGCAACCTCCCCCCCCCCCAAAAAAAAAACACAAAAAACAAAAAACAACACCCACTTTTGGCAAAATATGACACAGGAAGGTGACAATTTGTACTTTGTGAGCTTTTATTCTCACTGATAAAACCCCTGATTTTACATCTATTCATAATTTGAAAACACAAGACAGGCACAAATCTTAATGTTTTTTTTTTTTTTACATTTCTTGACTTGCATTTACAAATTTAGACTCCTGCACATACATGTCCAATTGACAATAATCTGATCTAAAACAGGACAAGTTTATTATGATTTCACGCCAGACAGCGTGAAGAAGGATGCATGTGCCTTTTCATACAGCATCTGTAAACCTCTGGTCGGAACCGTAACTCTGGTGGTGTCATCACTTTGGTGAAACAGAGACTGGTTTTTAGAGCCACCAGCAAGTCAGAGTGGAGGTGAGAGCACAGTGTATCTCTGTCAGCTCAAAATAACGTCAACTCAAAAAATGTATTAATACAAATCATATTGTTTGCAAGTTGCAAACAGGACACATCCTGTTTGCAGTAGATGGTCATTTGCATAAAAGTTTGTGGTTGCTTTTAAGAAAGCCTGTGGCATGCTGCAGTTTGTGAAATGAACCTTAACGCCTGGCTCAGGAAATTATTCAAGAGACACAAAACCAACCTCGTTTATTTTTGTATTTTAATTTCTTCTATCTCATGGTTAATGGAAGCACAGCCAGTTCGTCCCAGCCTCACTGAGGAAAAGGTTTGTGTAAAGAGTTAATCAGTTTGGACTCTGAATATGAGATACATTTAGTTTTTAATGTTTGTGGCAAAGATCAGTCTCAGTCATTCCTCTCACCTGTTACAAGACATTTGTTTTCTCTGTCTTCGGCGGCGCAGCAGCAGGTTGTTCTGCTTTCTGGCTCCTGGTTACCTTCAGCCCCGCGGAGCTGTGAATAATTCATGCTACCTCTTGTTGCTAACAGCTTTGATCTTAGAGTATGGATACTTATACTTTGCTGCACTCATGGCTTCTGCTCAGCACTTCTGCTCCGTCATGTTTTTATCAGATCCTGGCTGTCTGGGTGGTCTGACCTCAGATTTGTATCAGTTCTTGCTTCTCCTTGCAGATGCTGCCTCATTACTGGAGCAAGTCAGGCTATGTGTTGCATACAGAGCTGATCTGTCAGATTAGGAAAGTAAAAGTATTTCTCTCTTTGTCTTGAACACTTTGTTGGGATTCTATGCAGTGAACTAACACAAAGAGCTCAGATGTAAAGCGGAAGGAAAAGGATGTCTGGCTGCACCATAAAACGATAACGACACCTATTGCAATAAAAACATGATTAGAATAGAAATACATCAGATAGAACTTTGATCGTTTCACCAAGCTGAGATCCAGAACCTCAAAGCATTGTGGGGGATGTAGACAGATGAAACACTTTTGCCTAACCTCTCATGGTCAGCTAAGCAAGGTTTTTCCAGTGGCATCAACTAACTCTCTCACTCTTTGGTTACCTAGCAACAACTTGCTGAATAACATGTGCAGCAGCATGATGCTCCCAACATGCTTTGGCGTCCGCATGACTCAAAGTGAGAATCCGACAGACATGATGATGATGATGATGACGTTGAGAGTCGGTGCAGCAAGTTGCAAAGACGGGTCAGTGTAGCTGCTGCTCTCCGGGTAGCACTGTCTGAGTTTCTATTATAAATGTTCACAAATCTTTGTTTACATTCTGCTGATGGCCAAAAAAAAACACAATTTCACAGTGGTGATGTTTTCCATTCAATAAGAAATGAGATTAAAATCATACTTTATTGAAATCATGGCAGTGACAGATATAAACAGTTACATGAGACATACTCAGACTTCTGCTGCTCATCATCAGCCAATCAGAGGAGACATCAGCATCTTATTCAGGCGTTGGGGTGACAAGCCCCGCCGACTTGGGAACGGCAACATCTGTGCCGTTTTGAGGGAAATTGCAGTGTGTGATGTTATAGAAGGATTATGGATTCAACACGTTTGAATGACGCATCAAACTTTTTATGAACTGTGATGCTGTGAGAGCTCTGCTGGAGCTGCAGACCTTCAGAGAAAACACTCGTCCCCAAAGTGATTCACGACTTTCAAAATATTGCACAGCACTAAGTGTTTCACCCTGTTACCCTTAATTAGAAACTAGATCAACCTGCTGCATTTACAGGCCAGATTAGTAGGAAATCAAGGTCACCTCAGTCGTAGTTCATTCATATTACTGCAGCTACTCTATGTAATGATAAAGAACCATTATTAAAACACAGATTTAAAAAAAAGATATGCTCTTATAATTGTATCACAATATTTTGTGGTATTTGATGTAAACAAGACAATAAATAATTACATTAAATGACTTCAAATTAGATCATTTTTTGAAAGCTGTTTTTTTTTTATATATATTTTTCCAGAAATATTAACATCTCATTGATGAAAATGTCTCCATGTTCTTTTTGTAAAAGGTTAACTGATAGAGTGGTTTATTAAATATGACAACACATTACCTATGATTGATTTTGATCAGAAATTATAATTTTGTTTTTCAAAAGCTCATGTAACATTTGTGACTCTAAGGAGGTTTGTAAACTCAGCCGAGGGTAAAAATGTTTTTGGGTTGTACAGGTTGAAGACGCTTCCTCTGGTTTGTACAAATCCACACTTTGCTTTTCAGATTAGAGTATTTCAAACATTTCTGAGGCCAAAACTCACAGGCCGTCAAGCAGCACCTGGATCACGAGGCAACAGAAATCCTTAACGACCCCCTGCAGTTTGCAGCGATCCATCCGGGTTAAACGCTGCAGCAATCTGCTGCTCTCACACTCCAGACTCTCATCTGTCATGGGCATCGATCCGGACGTTCGCAGGGACGTGTGTGAATGTGTTGACAGGATGCAGGATTCTCAGCAGCTTCCTGGCATTTCAGGCGCAGCGTGGAGAGATGGACGTCAACGCGCTTACTTTGCTTTAATTATTAAATGACTGGTCTCATAATATCATGACTCCATTCTGACAATATTATGACTTTTTCTTGTACAACTTTTTTTCTCACAACATTATGATTCACTTCTTGAATATTCATTTTCATTTTTTTTACCCTGGCTCTCATACTCCATCATATGCATCAAATATCAGTTTCAAAATGTTACGTATTGAATATTTAATCTTGGGTGGATCGTTCTTGAAATGATAAAGGAAGATTTTACTATAAGTTCATGGTTTGGGGCGACACGGTTACTTTTGTTCGGATCATGGCAATCAGATTTAAAAAGAACATTGTTGCCAGTTGTCATCCAGTCATTAGCAATAATTATGAATTTGTCATGGTGTCAGGAGGAGACACTGCAAACATTCAATAATTAATGCTGAGCTGTGGGGGGGATGAACTCACTATGGGACACATACTGACGGCCACAAGATGGAAATAAACATCATCTTAGTGCTGAAACGACTAATTGTGATAAATAACCGTCAACTGATCATCAACTGGAGTATAAAGACTTAAAAAAGGATATTTTCTGAAAGAGCGGTGATTAAGCCAAAACTGTACAAAAAATATTTACATTTTGAATTTAAGATCATTAAAAAACAACAACAAAACACCTGGTCTGTAAATATATTCCCCTCATGTGTTATAGTTTAACTTCACCTGCTCAAAGTTCTGGAGAAAAACAAACAAATTCTCCTATTAATCACCTTCTGATTTCCAATTATTAATGGGCTCCTCCGAAAACACTGTGCTCGGCCGCACCATGTGTTTCCACATATTGATGTTAGACGTGTTTCATTATCTGAAGATTAATCATTTACTACAAATGATCGAGTATTCGCTAAAGTAGTTATCTGCTGTTATATTTTAGGCCATAAAACGTTTATTGTCTTATTTCAATAAGGATTTTATTTATTTATTTGCACCTTTCAATGTCTTTCTAATATTGCATAAAAAAAGGCTTAAATATTTTTTATTTGATTCATCCATTAATCATCAGAATACTGATAGATTAATCTAGAATAATTGCTAGTTGCAGCCCTACGTCAGTTTTTAATATGGACACAGTTTGACACCAACTGACTGACACCATCTAATACAGTAATGCAAATATATCACATATTCCCAATATATATACAGTCTTTCTTTTTAGTGCACATACAATATATTGCAAATGTCACTGGCTTTGCAAGAAATGCAGCATATATTTGTAGCACAACATTGTAACATCTTTCCTAATTCCTTTATATTTTCCTCCCATGCAGTTGGATCAGGTATGTGCTGCTGTGAAATAGTTTAGCCATTAAGTCCTATGAACAGTGCAGCCATGAATCATGTACATTAGGCATAAAATCAGTGTCAGGGATGCATTTCATGAAGCCTGTCTGCAGACTTCCTCATCCAAAGGTGCTGATGTGAAAACGGTGGGTGTGTAAAAAAAAAACAAAAACGGAAGAAACATCATTGCATCTAGCATCAGTGCGGTCGGTTGGGAGGAAGCTTGAATCGTGTAATTTCCTGTCGGCCGTCCTCTGAGGGATAAGTCGAGTTTCACACTCTAGTTGGTGTCAGTATGAAAGCAGCAAAGACAGAGAAAACTCTGATCAAACGCCTGCAGAAAGACTCTGGCATTCCTCTTCACAATGTTGGTGAGTTTGCATCGACGCCGGTTCACGCAGCAGCAGCGGCTCTAACGAATGCGTCCGTCTCTCCTGACAGGGCATGGGGGCGTCCTGCTCCTCTGGGAGCCCCGCTGAGGCAGCAACCCCACAACCTGGGATGTACAAGCTGGAGATCGAGCTGAAGCGAGGACACAACCTCGCCATCCGAGACCGAGGAGGTGCTTCTTCTAGGACGTCTTTCTTCTACAGTTGTTGTTGTTGTTTTTTTTTGCCTCTGTGGATGTGTTAACGGTTGATCTGCTCAGGCTCCAGCGATCCCTACGTCAAGTTCAAGCTGGCTGGTAAAGAGGTGTTCAGAAGCAAGACCATCCACAAAAACCTCAACCCGGTGTGGGAGGAGAAGACCACGCTCATCGTGGACAGTCTGAGCGAACCGCTCTACGTCAAGGTAAAGATGAAAAAACATTTTGAAATCGATGGTGAAAGAGAACCAGCAGTCAGTGGAGATGTTGTGTTGCTCTCCTGCAGGTCTTTGACTATGACTTTGGTCTTCAGGATGACTTCATGGGTTCTGCTTTTCTTTACCTGGAGTCTCTAGAGCAGCAGAGGTCTGTTAGACGTTCCTGTCATCATTTGTGTGGTGTTACAGGCGGGTCTCATTGCGCTGCAGACGCAGTCTTTTAGGTCGTCTTTGTGGTTGTCGTTCTCTCTGTGGTGGTTAGTGGTTGCATGTCTCTGTTGCTGTTCTGTGTTTCTCTTCTGAGCAACTTTAGTTTCTCTCTTGACTGTTCTACCGTCCGGTGGCTGTTGTCATCCTCGCAGCTGCTTGTGTGTCTCTGTGTCGTTTTGTGCCGGTTGCTGTTGCATGCCTCCATGTGAGTCACCTGTCTGTGGTTGAGGTTGCCAGATTTTGACAACTGAAAGAGGCCCTGTACCAACTTCCACTTTCTTTGTTTTGAGAGGAAACACTTTCATGTTGACCTAAAAACGTAGCTGTAAGTCACCCGCAACTGTCGGTTGTGTTGATGTAATGTTTCAACCTGAATGGCTCTCAGCAGAAAAACACATGCAGACCCATTTAACGGAGAGTCTTTATTAATTAGTTGATTTTTTTATGCACATATCAAAATCTAGATGCTTTGGATCACAAGACAATTTTCTTTTGCAGATTCATGTTAATATAAATGACTCAGTTTATTACAGTGGTTGGATTGAGACTTCAGAGCCTTAGTGATGGATTCCCGTCAGGACACTGACGGTTCCTACACCACCAGGTTTTTGCTTTCTAGCTTTTTAATGACTCTGACTTTCACTGTGCCTTAAAATAAGTTTCTATCAGTGACTAAATACATTAAGGTCTCCACTTCTGACGGCTTAAATTACAGAAGAATAGTATTTAAAGAAAATGAACTTCAGTTCTAGGTTTCATAGTCCTCAAAGCCTACTACTGCTTCATGCACACAGTAATGAAAAGCAAACAAAATATACTTTATGATGTCTCTGTGTCGTTTGTGCCAGCAGACTAATCAAAATTGGATTAATGGGTTGGAACATCAGAGCAGAGATAAAATCACATATGTGAACCAGAAGAGCTTAGAAAGTGGCGTGACCCGAACAACGGGTCACCTGCTCCTCCAGTGTGGGTCATGTTAACGTCCCACAGCCGCCTCCATCCCACCTGAACAGGTAACTGACCTGTGATCATTATGGAACCTGTAAACAGTCCCAACCAGGGCCTATTGTTAAACACATTTTCTAACCATGTGGGCTCCGTATGCAAATGTTATGGATGGTCGGCAACCCTGTCTGTAATGGTTTTGGTTCCCCTGACGGTCCACTGCCATGTGTTGCATGCTTTGTTTGCTTTCCTCTGTGAGCCTTTTGTGTCTCTGGGAGAAATTTTCTTTGTCTCCTTCCTGTTGCTTGTGCCAGTTTGTGGTGAACATCTGAAACTGTATTTCACACTCACAGTGAAACAAGCATACATGCTTTCTTTGCACTTAGCATAAAAATGTTCAGTGTTCAAGTGTCAGCATATTGGAGTCATAAAGCATTTCTGCTTTCAATTGAATTCACTTCAATTTCACTGTAAGTGATCAGACTTTGGCAACAATTAATTCATTCCAAACAGTCCTTTTTCAAAGTGAATATTTCTCACTCTGATACTGATGACTATCCATGCAATGTAAAATCTCTTTAAAGAGCGTAACAGGGTTTTTTTTTTCTGCTGATGTTGTTCATGTGGGAGCATGACTCCAGCACACACATGCTCGTGTTGCAGGACGATACCGGTGACTCTGGTGCTGAAGGACCCACAGCTGCCCAACGAGGACCTGGGCTCTCTGGATCTGGCCGTTACCCTGACGCCTAAAAGCAGCCCCATGGAGGAGCCTCGAGACGCGGCGGTGGGTTCACATATTCTCTGTCAGATACGGTCGCTGGGGATTTTATTGCAATGTCAAACATCTGATAAATTAGCTTGTTTATCCTCACAGGGCAAACAGTGGTTCACTTTTCTTTTTTTTGGAATGTTTTAAAAGTTTGTTCCAAGTTCGCTCATTATTACTGCAGGACGAAGAATGTCTCTGGCTTAGGGGACAAGCTGGGTTGCTATAGATACAGGTTAGCAGAGGTCTCACTGTTCCTATAGAAATCATTTCTATCATTTCTGGCTCTTTCTCCTCATTTTGTTATTTGTATTTTTATTACAGTCTTCAAAATGCTGCCAGTGTCTTTCCTCAGTGTTTTTGTAACAAAACGTTGCTGGCAACCCCAACAAGAAGTGGACTTCTTAAGAACCTTTTCACTTCAAAATAAGAGTCTTAAAAAACAATATTTAAGCACTCGCCGTTTTGATGACAAGACATATCACAGTGTTTAAACATTACACTGCTGCTTTACAGCAGAGATCTTTTAAAACACAGTGTGAGATTAATAAATTCATTATTGACTTTAGGTCAAACAAGAGGGAAAGCTGTCATTATTTGTCTGAAATATTCTGCACTCATTCCAGGTTCTTTCAAACACAGTTTGTGTTTTATGAAAAGTCGTTCCTCCCAAAATGATTCCAGATGCCAAACGGTGAAATAGTGGCAGCAGGTGTTACAACAGAAGAGCAGCTAAACTGAAAAAATCTTTAAAAAGATAAATCCCCGCTGCAAATAATGTAGTATATATGTATTTTTTACACAGAATAAATTGCTGAATATTATCTCTATGAACTTGTTGTTGATTAAAGAAAGTCTCCAGTTAGATCTTCCTCTCTTTTCCACATGTTTGTGTTTCCTGCAGCGAGGCGAGGTTAAGACGTATCGGTGGAAACCTTATGTGAATAAAGTGAGTGTAGCCGTGATTTAGCTTGTGGCGTTTCCTCCTTTAGCTCATTTAGCTCCTTTAACTCCTTTAGTTAGTCTGAGTCTAACTGGCTTGTTCCTCAGCAGCCTGATTAGAAAACATTCAGAGGAAATCCTCAGTGAAAGGATTTCTACTCTCTGGCATTGACATTATTTTTGTGGTATTGAATTTTAAACCTTTTTGTTTTACACCTGATAACCCTCCAAACGAATGTTGGATCAGATGCCCTGTATGACACAGATACTTCCCTCCACATCAGCAGGTTCTGTATGGAGGAAGCCCGTTTTAGCTGCTCGTATGTGTGATCCGACCCTTTCTGTGAGGAATCAGTTTTATGACGGCAGGGAAAAGCAGGAACCCAGATGGAGCTGTATACGGAGAGGTGGCTGAAACAACAGCCTCATTACTGCGTGAGCTGCGCTTAGTTATTCATGCCAAAATGCAGACGTCAAGGTAAAACACTTTCACCCCAGGATGCCAGAGTTCTTTGAGAAATTATCCATGTGGTTCATGCACCGCTGACGGAGTAACGGTTCTGGGATGGGATGCAACCTCCACTCTGACTAACGGCTCTGATTTCTGTCTGTGGAGTCTGGAATCCTGCTGGACCGCCGTATTAGCACGCAACAACATTGTGCGTTCACACAGCACAATTCAGATGTTTTTACCCACATGTGACTTTGTCACGGCGGTCTGAACATTCTGATGTTTTCAACCAAACAAAACCAAACTGATTTGAGCCACTTTTGTATGTAGAACTAAATGTGATACATAACCAAATTGATTTCTGCAGTTTGGATGATTTATGTCATATTTCATGTGACTTTTCCATCGTTGACATGAGACGTGCGTCATACTTCTGCATAAGAAGAAGCCAGACTGGATGTAAATGATGGCTGAAAAAACTCATAATTATGAAATTATGAAAGAAGTCTGAAGTGCATCACATCACAATCCCCTCACTCCTGGTCCGACTTCACGTCCAATCAGATTCTCCACAGAAGCTGCAGTGAACGCTTCACTAAAGGCCGTTGCTGTTACTTGTATTTTCTCTTTCTTAGCTTTCTTTATTCTGTTATGATTTTATGATAATTCGGTTGCCTCCCATTACTTTAAAACTGAGTTAAGACGGCGGTGGCCATGATTACTTCCATAGACAGTGTGCTGCTATGCAATGTCACGTTTTTCTTGTCACGAAACGACTTACAAAAAAAAAGGTTTTCAGCAAAAAATCATAACTGAGCATGAAGACCTGCTGTGTGAACGCAGCCTCACTTGTGTTACAAATGACCGAAGGCAGCTTTAAAAGAATAATTAAACAAGTGCATTGTGCAAAGGGCTAAAATTTAAAACTGCGTTTAGCATTTTCACTTGTTCCTTTGCGATGTCCCAATCAGGACTTTTTGTCCTAGATACCAATCATTTTTTAAATTTGACAGTGTATTTATCTCCGCTGTAGAATGTTCTCACATTCCTTCAGTTGAAATATGCAGAGTTTTAGAATTTGTTTCTAGAAAACAAATCCTAAAACTCTGCAGTATTAAATAAACTCATATCTTGGCAGTTGCTGTCTGGAGCACATTGATGAAGTGGTAAGCTAGTGTTAGCGTGTGTCCTCTTTGTCTTAATATCACTTGTTGATCTTTTGACTCAGCTGAAGTTAAGTTATATGACAGACACCTACAGAAAAAAGTGAAAAGGTTGCTTTCCCGCATCAAAAATGTTATGTTTGGTTTTAAACGTAAGAATTTAACAACTAAATTTAATACCAACCTCTTCTCAAGAGACACCCGATCGTAATCATTTAACAAAAACCTGGACTAGGACCTTATGCTGACTGGTGGGATCAGATGTGGACATCCCTGTCACAATAAAGAATCACGTTGTCTGAGTTATATTTCCTCTGAGCCTCTGAAAAAAATTGGAGTGACACATCTGATTTTCAGCATCTTTTTTCTCTGGATGGTTGTTTCAAGGTTGGATGGATTCATGTAAGGTGGCAGGAGGTGGAGTCTGTGAATTTCGAATTTCAGTTCTAAGAGCTCTGTGACAGTAGCAACAATAATATGTATCTATTTTTTTCAGTTACTGCTTTGGAAATGAGAGAACTCCTTCATATTCAAAAACTCTTAATTACTGATGAAATTGTTGCTGCAAAAAATGCTTGGAGTTCTTCACAGTTATGGATTTTAATGTTTGTTTTTGAGTTTTCTGCTAGGAGAGCCTTCAGACATATTCTAAGCTCCAAATCATTAAGCACAGCTTGTCTCATCCATATATTATTCACCATATGAAATAGTAATAAGCTGAGTCTCAATCTGAAACGCGGCTCTCGTCAGAGAGATGGATTCAGGATCAGGCGACAGTACGCTGAAGAAGTGTGGCAAAGAAATAAGCAAACAGAAAAATCATCAGAACTGTAAATAAATGAAACATCTGTTTATGTTGCTTTATTAATGGGGCTGAAATAAAGCAACATGTCTCCCTACCTCCTGGTTTAGCTTCAGTTAGTCCCAGTAGAGCTGATCCTCTAGTGCTTTAGGTTGAAACGTGTTAACGTATAAAATCTGAACAGTGTTATATGTCTTCAGACCATGCTGCTCAGGAGGTCCTGGAAACGATCCACGAAGGTAAACACCATCACCACTGTGTGTGTGTGTGTGTGTGTGTGTGTGCGTGCGTGTGTGTGTCTGTGTGCAGCCACAGCATCCTCCAGCAGCTTCCTGTCACTTCTCCTCCACCATGTTTGCATTTCAACGCAGCGCCTCCATTTTGTGTGTCGTCTTGCTGCTGCTGTCGGTTCCGCTCTCCAAGCCGGATCCGGTGGGAAGTTTCAGGAGCAAAGTGATCCGGAGCATGCACATTACATAACTGAGTTTACTGATCTTTTATTTATTTATTTTTTTATTACTATTATTATTTAAGCATCAGGCACAGATAAAAATAAAATAAACCAACGGCTTCAGTGTTAAGTTTTAAGGTTATTAAAGGGGAGTTATTATGTAAAATCTACTTTTTTTCCCCAGCTGTTTTAATTTCATATTATTATTGATTCATCAACAAAACACTTGGAGTGTGGCTTTGATTTTATTTTTTATGCATGTTTCACAAATCTTTGTCAAACATGCTTTGTGGAACCCTGCCTGCTTCCACAAAGCTCCGCCTCAGAGCTGAGCTTCTGCCTCACACCGCTCCTAACGACTAGCCAGCAGCAATTAGCAAACACCTGGTGGATCTGCGAGTCCACTGAACTCAGCATGCAAACTAGTTCTTAATGGCTTAATGGAGAAACAGGAAGCAGGAGCTTCTTAAAAAGAGAGAGGCCTAATTTCAAGTTGTGGCCCCAGTGTGTGGTGTGTTTGTGTTCAGCCCCCTTGTGTCTGAACGTTGTAACGCCACCATGTTCTGTGTTTTTTTACTTCATTTTTTGGCTCATTTTGCTTTGCTCTGGCATGAATGGATGAACAGTGTCTGTGGAACATCAGTCAGTTAGCCTTAGGTCTGAACTTTGACTGGACCACTCTAACACATGAGAATGCTTTGATTTGCACTGTTTGGTTGTAGTTCTGACTACAGTTGTTAGGTTTAGAGAACAGTCACCGTTCGCACAGGGCCATGTAGGGTTTTTTTTCTCCTATAATAAAAAACCCTCACTTAAAAACTGCACTTTGTGTTTGTTTGCTTGAATTGTCCTTGACTTTTCCTAAATTGGTTTTATTGTCCTGCATGTCTTATTCCTCGCTTTGAGATGAATACATTCCGTTGTGTGTGCGTGTGCGTGTGTGTGTGTGTGTGTGGATCAGCAGCAGCAGTCATTGCGTCTCACTGAGGTGCATCGGAAGTCCCAGCTGTGGCGAGGGATCGTCAGCATCACGCTGATCGAAGGTCGGAACCTCACGCCCATGGACCCCAACGGCCTGAGTGACCCCTATGCCAAGTTCAGGCTGGGGCCACAGAAGTACAAGAGCAAGGTGAGTCGGACGCTTCGTCTGCTCGGAACCAAGCAGCATAAAGTCACTGCAGCTCTTTCACCTGGTGCCCATTAACAGCAACAACAACAACTTCAGGAAACAATAAGAAAACGTCCAGGTTCACCTGAAATCCCGTTTCACTGAGTCCAGTTTGGGAAGGGGATTAAGAAATGTGTGTGTGTGTATGTGTGTGTGCAGACAATGTCGAAGACCCTCAGTCCTCAGTGGAGGGAGCAGTTTGACCTTCATCTTTATGAGGAGACAGGAGGCGTTCTGGAGATCACAGTGTGGGACAAAGACACGGGGAGGAGAGACGACTTCATCGGACGGTCAGAACCAGAATCGGTTTTACTCGCCGTGTTTGCTTCCACTTTTCTCCCAATGAATACTTTTTACATCTACAAACTTAAGAAGGACTAGGCTGAGGAAGCGCAGATAAGCCTGGTGCTGATGTGATTCAGTAGAACCAGAACCACTGACCGTTTCCTCCATCCTGCACTGGTTCCTGTGACGTCATCTGAAGAGTTACCCAGCCTGTCTGCTCCTGTTCCAGCTGCCAGTTGGATCTCTCCACTCTGACTAAAGAGAAGACCCATCACCTGGAGCTGCCGCTGGAGGAGTCCCGGGGCCACCTGGTGCTGCTGGTCACGCTGACGGCGTCGGCGGCGGTCTCCATCGCCGACCTGTCCCTCACGCCGCTGGAGGACCCAGAGGAACGCAGAGAGATCCTCAAACGATACGTCAGTGACCTTCTGACGTCCACACCTCACGTCCACTAACTTTAAAACAATACTGACGTCAGCCAGGCCTGTCATGACAACACATTCACTGGACCTTAAATTGTTGTCCAGTTTATCATGATAATCCCAGGGATTATTTATCACGATAATCCTAGGGATTATCATGATAAACAAAGATATAATTTTGAGACGTAGTAAATTGATAGTGGTATAACAATGATTTAGTAAAATAATTTAGTAAATATCACTGAACACTGGAACTGGAAGATATTTTAAATCTACAATATAAAGCACAACAACAAAAAATAACAACGAAAAGAGAAATAATAAAACACACTTTCAACAGAAACCATAAATTAAATGGATTATGATGCCTCTGGAAAATTACCATCCAAAAGATTGCAACACACATGTTTTTTTGCCGCAGGGTGTGAGGAGGTCGTTGTCCAACCTGAGGGACGTGGGCATCGTCCAGGTGAAGGTGCTGAGAGCCGAGGGGCTGATGGTGGCAGACGTAACGGGTACCAGCGCCTCCTCGATTCTTCTTCTGCTTCCCCTCAGAAACCACCTGCCACCAAACACACTCTCTAATCTGACTGCTCTCTCTCTCTCTCTCTTTTTTTTTCAGGTAAAAGTGACCCTTTCTGTGTGCTGGAGCTGAATAACGACAGACTGCAGACACACACCGTATACAAGAATCTCAACCCCGAGTGGAACAAAGTCTTTACCTTGTGAGTCACATTTCTCTGCAGCATCTTCCTCCTAATTCTTCATTATGGGGCCGTTAACGTTTTCTCCAGTCAACTGAGAGGCTGTAAAATCCCCCCTGATTCATTCTGAGTTATGAGCTTGTTGATGCTGGAACGCCCACATGTGTTGTTCCAGGCTGGGGAAACCAAAAAGCATAAGCTAAAGTTTGAATTTCAGAATATAGAAGCAGAAAATTTAGCTAGTACTGCTTAGAGGATGGACATCAAGTTAGACAATCTGCTCCTGAGATAAAACACTCGTAATATAAAGTAGAAATTAAAAGTAAAGTAAAAACATAAAGACAAAAATCATACCGTGTTTTTCTTTCATGCACATTTCAAAGTGTTTCATTAGAAAAGGTTTGTTATGCTCAGTCTGGCTCAGTCTGGCCTCATGTCTCCTCTCTGCACAGCAATGTGAAAGATGTCCACTCGGTCCTGGAGGTGTCGGTGTTTGACGAAGACAGAGACAGGAGTGCTGACTTCCTGGGAAAAGTGGCCATTCCTCTTTTGAATGTGAGTATCAGAGGCTGTTCAGACTCCCAGAAATGTTCTTCATTTTATCCCGTTAAAGGTTACATACGGCTGATCAAATACAAGATAATCATGAAGTGGACTTGAATCAATGGCTTCTGTGTTTTTAATGATGCTATTTGTTAATGTGTTTTAGAAAATCTCTGAGGCCACAACAGTGGAGATCATCCATCAAGGCCAAAGTTAATATGCATTGTTCTAAAAGTCAGACGTTTTTCAAACTATTAAGTTGCAATTTAGACATTTATAACAATTGTAATTTAGTTAATAGTTCTGTTAGGATATATGAGACATGAGCTTTTTTTTAAAAATGGAAACAAACTAAACGTTGTCCCTGCTGATATCCAGAATAATAACATGTAATGACCAGCAGTTTTATATTTTAGGTTTAATTTAGAAACAAACATTATTCTGAAGATTTGTTGAGTCACATTGACTAAACACGGTATGATAACCAAGTGAGCTTTAGCCTGCAGTGCTTGTTGGAAATCAATCTAAAAGCCAAGACAGTGTGTGTTTTAGGTTCATAACCCAGTGTGTGTGTTTTAGGTTCGTAACCCAGTGTGTGTGTGTGTTGTAGATCCGTAACGGCATCCAGAGAGCCTACCTGCTGAAAAACAAGGAGCTCACCGCCCCGACCAAAGGAGTCATCTACCTGGAGATGGAAGTCGTCTACAACACGGTGATTGTGACGCTCCAGCTTGTGTTCACACAAATCCTGCAGTTTGTTCCGTCCAAAGCGTCAAAGTTTTTCCTTGATGTGCTGTTCTTCAGATAAAGGCTGCTTTAAAGACCGTGGTTCCTCCAGAACAGAAATACGTTGAGGAAGAACCAAAAGTTTCCAAGCAGGTGTGTATCGTTACGCAAATACATTTATGATTATGATCAAATTAAAAGCACAAATGTTGATGGGTTCAGGTCCAGTCCAGATCCTTGATTCATAACTGTGTTTCCATATATTTGCGCATTTCGACATTTCAAAAATAAATTAGCTTGACGAAACCTTTCATTTTTTAACAAATTGTTTTGGTGCTAGGATGAAATGTCTTTTTTTGCTTTATTGAAATTGTTTTATTTTTTCAAACTTAAATGGAAACACTTTTCGATTGCATCACATGAGTGATGAGCAACCGGACATTGGTCCTGGTGTAAACCATGAAGAAGACCACAGGACGTAACAAACATTTTCACATGTGATTTTTAATTGCATTTCTTATTTAATGGAAACACCACAAATGCCCAAAGAGAACCCATGCCCCCATCTATATTTATATTTTTTAAAACAGACATTTCTCTGTTTTTAAAAGCATCCTCTGGTCTAAAACGTGACAGTACCTCTCCCCCGCCAGTAGGAGGCAGCTTAGTTGAAACCAATCACAATTTATTTGAAAGCCTCTAACAAATCCATAATGTTAATAAGACATAAAAGGTTTTGACTTTATAGAGTTTGTACTAATCACCAAACGTTTTCATTGTGTATTTTAATCAAACTGTATTATTATGATAGCATATTCGCAGCAGGTAAACCTTTTGCCTTCCAGCTGCTGCAGCAGAACTTTAACCGGGTCAAGCGTTGCATCATGGTCCTCTTCAGCTTTGGTACCTACATTAACAGCTGCTTTGAGTGGGAGTCGTCACAGAGGAGCATCACTGCTTTCATTGTACGGAGAAAACACACACACACTCACACACGCATGTACACGCATACACACACCCACCCACACAAGCCTATGCAGTTTGCTCTTTCCCCACCGTGTCTGCTCTGTCCCCAGCTGTTCGTGGTTCTGGTCTGGAACTTTGAGTTCTACATGCTGCCACTTGGCCTGGTTCTGCTGCTGGCCTGGAACTTCTTCTTCTCCTCAGGCAGAGAGACGGCGGAGACGGTGAGCACCGAGACTCGTTTGTGTTCATGTGTGTGTGTGTGTTTCACACACCAATCATCTGCTGAAGCTTTCTCTGTGTTCTGCAGTCCATGGAGGCCATGTTTGACTGGGAGGATGATGAAGAGGACAAGGAAGAAAAGGTGCTGCTGTAATTCAGGAAGTCATTCCTCTGCTCTCGATAGATGTAGTTTTCCTAGATAGTGACTATGTAGCCAAATAAAGTTGTCCTGAAATATCTTCTGATGTAAGTTGGGGTCACTGGGTGGGAACTGAATTATGTTTTTAATAATGAATCATAATAATTAAATACATTAAATGCCGCCACCTTTAACAAAAGGCACCCACATATCTATAGCAGCGGTGTCCAATATGTCCTCTGGGGGCCACAAATGTCCCCTGACTCTGACTCTGTCGCTCAGTCTGGCCCCTGATTTCCGTTCAAGAATGATACAAAGGTGTTTGATGTCGGTGGATACATTATTTCTTTATTTCGTAATTTTTCATTAGTTGTTTTATTTAAAAAAAGATGGAATGTCTGATCATTTTAAAATGATCAGACAAAGTAAAATCTCCTCACACCAGAAGACATTTACAGCAACACATTACTCATCTTTTTGGATTCTCTCCAGTTACTTTTACTCAAAACTGTGACTCAGCTGGACCCAAATGTGCTTTTACTTCATGTATTAAATTTGGCTCAATAGAATAAGCATGTTCAAAGAAAGAATTTCCTATGTTTTGATTTTACTGGTTAAAAATGTCTTCAGTTGTTCTGTTTGTTTTGTTTGTTTGTTGTTTTTCAAATTCATACCTGGAAAATTTGCAAAGTGTCTCATTCTGATTTCTGCAAAACAATTTGAAATTTTAGAATGCATAACAATTTACACATCTCTTTCTAACAAAAGATCTGACTATGTAATTATTTGTTGAAAGTATTGAGTTGTTTGCTGAGTAGGCACAAAAACATTATTTTTGGCCCATTTGTTTGGGCGCCCCTAAATGAAATGGACAGATTCCAACTCTACTTCTTATCTAGACTTTATACATACAGTGTCAAATATTGAACCTTTCCCTCTCTCCTGTCAGGACTCTGAGCACAAAGGCTTCATGGATAAACTGTACGCCATCCAGGACGTATTCATCAGCGTGCAGACCGCTCTGGATGAAGTCGCTTCGTTTGGAGAAAGGTTAAAGAAGTAGGTTCTCTGCAGGTTGCCATGTTTGTGTTTTCCTTCACAACTAATCAGCAGAAACAAACAACTAGCTTATAAAGGCAGGCCTGTGGTTTTGTTGTTAAGTAATGAACAGCTGATGACATCACTACATGTTTCTTAGTGTTGTCATTTTTTTTATAAATATTAGTTTTTCCCATATGCTATGCTAACTTTTAGCCCAGTTTGAATCAGGTCACAGCATGTCATGTGATGTGTATTTCTGAACCATTCAAGTCTCATTAAGTGGACGTTGACATGTACGTCTGGAGTTTTCTCTGGAGACTGCGCCAGCGATCATCTGTAATGTGAAATCCACACAGAATGAAGCAATAAAACATCTCCTTTTTAAGTTGAAAGCAATGAAAATAATAAACTTTTATTGCTTTCCCAGGAGGAGTTTTGTGATCTGGATGGTGGCTTCGTATTGCTCTCTTCCTGTTGACCTTTGCCCTCTGTCAGCTGCTCCAGTGACTACCTGTATCTCTTTACTTTATTTCAGTCATAATCCATGTCTTTCTCCCTCTAAACATGTTAGCTTCTTGCAACTTGCAACATTTTCAGGCTGGGTTTCCACCGACACATGAGCAACTATAGCGTCATCGCAGCATCACTATGCAGTATTCTTGTTGTAAAGGGCTAATTGGAGAGCAATAATTGTTGGTCAAAGAGGCGTTTATTGGATTGTATCATGATTGTATTCATGATTTTGATTTATATGTGCTTTAAAAAGAAACAAACAAACAAAAAGAAACCCGTCCGTGTTGTTGGGATTGTTAGTATTACTATTTTCTCCAATGTTTGTTCATTGAGTGTCAATAAATGTGAAAATATAATTAAAGCTAGCTACTGTGAGCAGCCTAATAGCACAAATCTCACTTAATGAAATGACTGGTGTCCTAAAAAAAACATATTATAACTGGGATGTTTTTTAAGAGCAGTATTTGTGTTTGTGCCATGCAGTCATAACCATAAAGTTACCTAAAAAAATTATAAATAGTTCTTATTGTAATGTTTATTGTTGTCACCATAGTACCACACAATATGGTGATGACATTTCACGTCCATATCGATCCACATTGGTTAATATGACTCAAACCTTTCAGCAGTAATTCTCAGGTCACACATTCATTCCTTCTCTGTGTCCTGCAGCACCTTCAACTGGACAGTGCCTTTCCTCAGCTGGTTGGCGATCGCTGCCTTGAGCCTGGCCACTCTGCTGCTCTACCTCATACCGCTGCGATACCTGGTACTCGCCTGGGGTGAGTCCTGATCCACTCATGCAGAGCCTCGTTCAGACCAGCCTGATCCCTGTTGTTCTATCAGGAGGAACGAAATCCCAACAAACTGCTGTCAGAAGCTCAAACTGTTTGACTGAAATCATAAAGTCGAAAAGTCATTTTACTAAATACACACAAAAAATCAAAAAACAAAATTACGTGACTTTATTTGGAAAGTGCATATCAAAAAATCTCTGTGCTTATTTTAGTCAACCTCACTGACTGAAGAAGAAAAGTGTCTGATTTAAAGTCGGACTGTTAGGAAATGGTTATTTTATGTAGTGTATGTAAACATCTGGTTTCCACCCAAATATTTCATAACCCTGGTAGATTTAAGAAGCTTGTACTGATAGAGAATGAGAGAAGATTCTCTAAAAGATGACAAAACTATAAAGGAGATTCATCCTTAGTAAAGAATAATAATTTATCAGTTTTAAAAATGACACTGTAAATCCTTTCTACCAGGTTATACAGGTTATATCTCTAAGCCTCTCACAATAACCAATAAATTAAAATGAAATCAATAATTCCCATTGGCATGATTTATCATTTATCTCTTTCTACCAATAAACTAGAGAATAAAATCTTCAATTTGGTGCTTTGGTATCAACTAGTCTTTTTTTGGGAGGGCAATTTTGTTTACGACTTCAAAATTCATTTTATTTGTTGTTTGGTTTATTCATTTTGGATATTTAAGAAGTCTTCCACTTCCAATGTTAATATTCATTAGAACTTAAATTGTACTGATCTTTTAGAATGTGTTCCTGCATTATTATTATTATGCCATTACATTATATTACTTAAAAATGGTCTCAAGACATCAATATTATCGTTTAAAGCAATAACTTCTGGGACAATTTATCGTCCAGCAAAATTTGTTATTGCGACAGGCCTTCATGTCGTAACAGTTCTCTATTATAACTCGCTGAGATTTAGAGTTCAAATGGGTCTCAACATTTCATTTCCCTTTGATGATGAATAAAGTCATTTTGAATTTGAATTCTACAGGTGTGAACAAGTTCACTAAGAAGCTCCGTGATCCATACATGATCGACAACAACGAACTTCTGGACTTCCTGTCTAGAGTTCCGTCTGATGTTCAAATGGTGGGTACGGCGGCCATGTTGGCAGCAGTGAGGCTCACGATGAACATGTCAGAATTCATGTCTCTCTCTCTCTCTGCTGATGGACAGATGCAGTACAGAGAGCTGAGAGCCGATCCGGGACAAAGCCCCACCAAGCGCAGGCGAACGAACCCCAGCTAGCTGCAAACTGCAAACTCTGTACATTCATTGTAATTTCGTATTTGGTTTCTTAACTGTGTCCTCTTGTACATTTGATTCGGACGAAAATGCATTTACTGATTTTTTTTTATTTTTTTTTTATTTTGTTGTTACCAAACTGAATTGTTTTGTAAATATTTGAAAGAAAAAGATGTTTTTTTTTAATCTAATTTATTTCTCTCCACTTGTTAAAGTGATGAAATAAAGGAATGTGTCGTCTGCATGCAGTGCTGCTGTCGCATGCAACAGGAGCAGAGTCATTCTGGCCTGAACGTGTCGTCGCTGTGTCTGAAAACAGAGCTGCATGCTGTTCCTGCTCCGACCCACGATGGTTTTCCTTTTATTCCCGTCAGTCAGGAGAACAAATGTTTTTGTCTGAATTCCGTTTCAAGCACATGGCAACAGCCAAAATCACTGCAGCCTAAAAATTTCTCCACTCAGATAAGTTTTTATATTCCTGGGGTTCTCATGAGTGGTTATGAGCAGTCAGTGTCTTACTTCCGGTTTGTAGCTTTTATTATCTGATGAATGCCAGTTTGAAACAGCTTTAGAACAAAATTTTACCAAGTAATTTTGATAAGATGTTCAAGCATCTGAGCACACTTGAAATAAGGCAAAACTGACTTCCAAGTAAGATACAGGAGCTTGTTTTAACTTAATAATTCCTTCATATTTATAGAAAAAGTACTTGTTCTGTTGTCAGATTATTTCATTTATAGCATGGGAAAAATATTTTCTTATAGGTGGAATAATTTGCTGGTGAAATTTGTACTTTGTAAAACAATATTAAGGTGTTGTCTAAAACAAACTCTTATATCTGACTGGATGTTACCAGTTATTTAGTTTTGTCTTCTTTCAAGTGTATGAACATATTTGCACCAGACAAAATGACTTTGTAAGTAACTTTATCTACTTAATAAGTTAATAAAATGACTTCTTGGCAGATTGATAGATTGACAGCTGAAGGTTTCCCATGTTGGAAAGAAACAAGCAAAACTGCTCAACTCGTCTTAGATTTTATTTTTGAAACTCTTTCAGTCACAAATGTAAATCTGGGTGGTTTAAGGAGCAAAAATAACGTCTACCGTTCCTGTCTTTGCTGCACAAACACAATAGAGGGGATTGCTTTGTCAATCTGTTTTAATCTACAGCAAAAAAAAACATTGAGACATAGCTCTAAATTTATTCAACTTCTAAATATTTCTGACTTTATAGAAGTTAAAATGTTGTAAACATAAATGAAATGTCGTCTTCCTTACACCTGTTCCCAGAGTAAAGGAAATAAAAATCTGTTAACTGTCAATGCGATTTTATCGTAACTTTTAAAGTATTTAATGACCGTTCTTTAAGGTCTGCAGCATTTGTCCAGTTAGATTTTTCTTTTTCTCATCTTGTTTCTTTCAAATGCAAATTATTGGACGTCTCCATCATTTTTGTCTTGATGTGGAAGTGAGATGGTAAATGTACCACACACCTGGATATGTGTTTATTTAGGCGTCTTTTACTCGGCTGGTAAAAATTAGCAAAAGAAAGAAATCCAGACAAAAAATGAACTGACTGGACATCCACCAAAAGTATTCCATATTTTCAGTCTGTTGTAAACCAAACAAACATAAACTGAATCACTTTTGAACAAAAATGTTGATCTAAATTCTGGGAACAATAATTTGGTGCTTTTCTCATAAGAGTGGATTTTTCCAGCCTTGTGTAACTTTGTAACTTTTCACAAGTCCGTTCTTGTTAAAAGAACACAGTTAATTCAACCAGACGTGTGAATTATACAGTATCTGTTTAATGCTTTGAGTGGGAATGCAGCTAATATCAGGCATTTGCAGCTGATCTCCTCCCAGTGTTTACAACTGCTGGGAATCAGTTTCTCTGGTTTCATCAACAGCTTTTTCAGCAGATGTCAGTGTTCATATCAATGAGCACTGATGTCTGATCGCCAAAGAACAAGAAGCTTATTTGACCCTGTTTGTGCTCCTTTTTGAAGATTTTTTCCAGCTGCTCTTTGTTTTATCGACTCTCCTCACTTTGTTGATCCTGTTTTATCGCTGTCTTCCTCTCAGCATCTCCGTCTTTGTCTTTTTTAACTTTGGGATGCAAAGACCTGCATGTATGTGGAAGCTGCTGTCTGTAAGTGTTTTGCATGATTGATCCTAAACTATACAAGTGCATTTATCAACACTAAATGTGCGTAAAAGCTCTGATTATTGATCCGACGTACTGTTAACTCCCCCTGACGAATCCTCGCTTCTGTTGTATTGAACTGTTTTTGACTTCTTTCTCTGAGAAAATATATTTCTTCACAGACGTGTGTGGCTTTCTGTCTTACATAATCAAAGAAATGAGGCAGAGCTTTGTGAACAGGATGCAGGATTTTTAGGAGGGACTTTGATGTTGGGAGGTCACTGAGGTCAGACTCCAGATTCAGTCAGTTCTGAGGTGAAAAGGGAAGTTGTTGATATAAAAACATCCACCAATCATAACTGAAAGTAGAGCTGACTGACTTATCAGTGCTAAATATGCATCGCAGAAAGTCTAAATGAATATTAATTATAGAAGATCTAGAAAGAACTAAACATGAGGGCTTCATGTTCCTCATGTTAAATATGAAAAAGTCATTCAGGTAATGTCAGTGGTGTTTCCTGACAGCCTTTACTGTCCAAACAAAAATTTGTGCATTAAGTGGAACTGACTTTTTTAACTAGGTCAGATAAGTCAATTCCACTCACAGATAACTAGCTGTTGAGTTTGACTAGCTACTCATAACTACTATCCAGATTCTGACCAGTGTAAATATAGGAATATGTTGAATTAGAAATGCCCAAATGCAGTTTGGACTATTTAAAACAAACTTCACTGAAATGAACCTTTAGCACCAGATGGCAGGCAGTGTGAATCAGACACCAACTTCAGCATCATTAGGGTCAACAGCAACTTTCTGTTGCTCATTGCCACCACAGGAGATGATCGAAATGAAAACAAGCAGCAGAAAAGTTTTCCAGGCCCCAGATGGTAGATAAGCTTGTTGTCCTGAACATAAGGTAATATTGCCCAGATTAAAATTGTCACCAGATCAGTGAATGCTGTTCATTGCGTTGCTGCTGCTGCCGTTGCTCATAGTGAAACAACAGAGACGTGATCCCACTGAGGGAGCAACTTGACTGTGTTATTTCAGCAGACGGCTGGACTCTCACCAGCTGCTTGAGTTTGACAGCCTGGCTGCAGCTTCTATTGAGTGTGCAGGTCTGTCCTGGGTCAGCCAGACAGTCAATACAGCAAAAAGAAATCAGACACACACACACACACACACACACACACACACACACACACACACACACACACACACACACAGAGTTTCACACACACACACACACACACACACACACACACACACACACACACAGAGTTTCACACACACACACACACACACACACACACACAGACACACACACAGAGTTTCACACACACAGAGTTTCACACACACACACACACACACACACACGCACACACACACACACACACACACACACAGAGTTTCACACACAGCTTAAGGTCCTCATGAATGCGGCTTTTACAATGTGTTTTTTTAATAGAAAATAAATAAAATAAAATTCATTGTGTCAACAAATATCAAGCTTCCCCTATGAAGAAATATGACTACAATGAAAAAAAAGAGGCGCTCTGCTTCTAGGTTGTGTGTTAAAACGTTGGCCAGCAGGTGGCGTCATTAGCATGAGTTTTGTTGAGCATGAAGCTGAAACCAGGACTGGATCTGGAACCTCACTGCTCTCTGTCATATCTCCCTTTCCCTTTCCCTTTACCCTGACACACACACACACACACACACACACACACACACACACACACACACACACACACACACACACACACACACACAACACAACACCCCACACACAACCCACACACACACACCCACACACACACACACACCCACCACACCCCCCCACCCCCCCCCCCCCCCCCCCCCCCCCCCCCCCCCCCCCCCCCCCCCCCCCCCCCCCCCCCCACACACACACACACACACACACACACACACACACACACACACACACACACACACCACACACACACACACACTAAGCTTTATTACGATCCACATGAAGAGTTTGTATTGATTTCCATTCATTTCAATAGCATGCCTTAAACCTAAACTCAGTTCAAACCTTAGTCCTAAAACCAACCACTAACCCAATAACAGCAACTCTTCTTGGTGGAAAAATAGGCCTTGCAGATTCATTACAACAAGCAGTAATATACACTGCTCACAACAAGTAAGGGATATTAGACTTTAGCTGAAATTGATAGAAAATGTAAAAAAAAAGAGAAAAAAACTCAACAACCCATAAATCACATTGCATTAATATTACATCATGAAAGCAGGTGTACTGTCATTCCTGTGCAGCACTTTGGTGCAGTTCTATACCTGTTTTTAAAGTGCTAAATAAATAAATTTGACATTTGACAGGACATTAAGTACAAGTGGTGATGTCATGATGTCAGGATATTTATTGAAACAAAACAGCAACAACAGGAGGGATCTTTGCCTCTCTCAGAACGTCTCAGAACCTCTCAGAACCTCTCAGAACATCTCAGAACGTCTCAGAACGTCTCAGAACCTCTCAGAACGTCTCAGAACCTCTCAGAACGTCTCAGAACCTCTCAGAACGTCTCAGAACCTCTCAGAACATCTCAGAACGTCTCAGAACCTCTCAGAACCTCTCAGAACATCTCAGAACGTCTCAGAACGTCTCAGAACCTCTCAGAACGTCTCAGAACCTCTCAGAACGTCTCAGAACATCTCAGAACATCTCAGAACGTCTCAGAACGTCTCAGAACCTCTCAGAACGTCTCAGAACCTCTCAGAACGTCTCAGAACGTCTCAGAACCTCTCAGAACGTCTCAGAACATCTCAGAACATCTCAGAACGTCTCAGAACCTCTCAGAACCTCTGAGAACCTCTCAGAACCTCTGGAAGAAATTTCATTCAGCATCTATTCACCATTTCTGTCGGTTTGGCCACATTTGACATAATTATCATGTTGAAATGAATCTTTTAATACGATCATCTACAGTTGAAACAGATATTTACATCTGTTGTCTTCAGAGACAACTTTTTCCTTTCAGTGTCTTGAGTAAGAATCTTTTTCTGTTTTAGATCAGTTATAATTAAACATTGATTGTTAAAAGTTGTTTTTTTAAGACTAATTATTTTGACAGCAGTCTAACTGATCCCTGATATCTGCTGTCGATTTTTTTCCTGCTGATTTTGGAAGCCGATGTTTTTTCTTCCTCTCTTGACATGATAAAAATCACACAAATGTCCATTTAAAACTGGGAACGAGAAAACAGGAAGAGGAAATAAGGGAGAAAATGAATCAACATGATTTAAAAATATTAAATAATTAATAGAAGATTAAATGCAGAATGTAGAAAAACGGTTTGTGACAATAAATTAAAATATTGCACTAATTAAGTACTGAAAATGAAAAATATTGAGAAAAAAATGATTGATAAAGAAAAAATGAAAATGAAAGTATAGCGATGTTATATTAATACTGTTGAAAAATGAAAATTATTTTATATCATATTGTACAATCAGAGAAGTTTGCAATGTTATTTTCTTTGGTTACAATATTTTCCACTCTATATACATTATCAAGACATGTTTTTATTTTCGTAGTCTTTGGTCATTTTGGCAGGATTTGCCTTCCATTTTTATTACCAAAACAATTTCAGTTGCTTGATGTCGTCACAGTCAGAGCTCTCTGAGATCTAAAACTAAGAAAATAAAAAAATCTTCCCTCAAGCTCACATAAAGTTATGTATGTGTTAATAGATACAAACCTATCAGTGCATATGCATGTGTACATGTAGGCATGTACATAAACAGGTTAGGTCCATATGTCTTTTCATTGTTTTTTGGGTGTATTTAACTCTTGTATATTGGACTGTGTACAACTTCAGCCAACAGAGATCCGATTTCAGGTTCAGCATGTTTGCTGTCTGGACCGGCTCCTGTTCAACCAGCACGACTGGATCCAGACAGCAGGGAAAGTCACCAGACACCATCAGCAGTCTGTGGCCCCTAACGCACGCCTTTCCAAATCCTTTCATCAAATTTACTCTTCCGGTTTCAGTCACAAAGTTATCATTGAAGGATTTGTAAAGCACAGTGGTGCAGATGGTAGCACTGTTGCCTTGCTGCAAGAAGGTTCTGGGTTTGATTCCCGGCCCGGTGTCTTTCTGCAAGGAGTTTGCATGTGCATGGTGGATTCTCTCCAAGTTTACCCGAATGTTGGGCAAATTGGTCTCTCTAAATTCTCCCTAGGTGTGAGTGTGTGTGTGCCTAGTTGTTTGTCATGTCTGCCTCTGTGTTGCCCTGCAACAGACTGGCGACCTGTCCAGAGTGTGTCCCGCCTCTCATCCGTAACGTTAGCTGCAGATAGGCACCATCACCTCTCGACCCCACTAGGGACAAGGGTGATAGAAAATCAATGGATGGATTTATACAGCAACATGAAAACAGATGCATGTTTCTTTTTTTGGAAGAAAAAAGAAAAATGTATGCACATATCAATTCGCACATTTAGATTGATTGACAGCACTAGGACCTCCTGCCGCCTGTGGCTGGTTGTTTTCGGTCAGGATTGGCAATAGTAGCTCAGTATGGAACATTTCTAGTGACATGGGAGAAAAAAGCATAAGAAATGGTGACAACGACTTGTGAAAAACCCTTAATTATGACAAGTTGTGACCAGGAGCTACTAAATTGTCAGCACAAGTTTTTTTTTTTTTTTTACTTTCTCCCATATAACCAGATGGAGGAAGAGGAGATGATCGATCATTTCACAGAATATTTGCCTCAAAACAAACTGTCACGACATGGAGACAGTTTTATCAAATATGTAAAAGATGTTCTTATCAAAGTTCCATACTACAACTTTAATGAACGAAAACATTATTTGGAAATTGCATTTTGTCTTGTCTTTGATCTTGGTCCTGCTATTACATGTTAGATGATGATCTGAAACATTTACATTTTTCCGTATGTGGGACAAAACAGGAAAAACAGAAGGACTGTGAAACAGGGAAATCTTTTTTTTGTGTGTTTTTTTTTCACAGAATTGTTGCCACATGTTTGGAACTTTCTTACAAATCTTGACCTACGCAACAGTGTTACTGCTGGCTGAAATTCTTTAAGGGAGCTGACTGAGCAGAAACCTCTCCCAGTTCTCTGGTATTGAGCTCATCTCAGACAGACAGGGAAACCGTGGCCTGATGCTAACGGCT